GGAGGAGGAAGAGGAGGACGGCGAGGAGGAGGAGGAGGAGGCAGATGAGGAGGGTGAGGAGGAGGAGGAAGAGGAGGAGGAGGAGGAGGAGGAGGAGGAGGAGGATGTGGAGGAGGAGTAGGAGGGTTGTGGAGGAGGAGTAGGAGGGTTGGTGGGAGGAGGGAGGAAGGAGGGGGATGCCCGAGACCTCCCCGTCTACCCCCGCTTGCTATTCCTTCCCCGTGCTCGGTGAGTTTGTGGACGGGATCTGCCGTTGGTGCCTCCATGGCACCCATGAGTGATGGTAAGCAAAAGCCATCAACTTTGGAACGCGTCTGTTCATGTGAAGTGGGTTTCGCTTGCTTGCTGTTGGCGATCCGACACGGTCCCGACGTCTTGCCTCCTGTAGAGGTTAATTTCCGACGGTGAGGTTCTACCCAGCATGGGCCACTGCCGAGGAACGGGCTGCAAGTCCCTGAGATGTTGAACGCGTGTGCGCCCATCAGCGGGTAAATCTGACCACTATTTTTCAAAAGGCAGGCAGTACTTGCATTCTGTCTACCACGCCGCCCTGGATTATCATGTGACGTTGCCAAGGCCCCCATCAGGCTCTAGAGAACAGCATTTCTTGATGAGCACCCACACAGCATGCTCACATCAGTGTGTGTTCACGCTTGCAGCGGCTGCACACCGAATTGTGGACCTCCCCCCCGGCAGAGCTGCGCATATTCAGAAGCTGCAGACTTCCGCGGAGTGCAGTCGGTCGCCCACCGTGCTCGTCAGCGTCCTCATGCATCTATCCACCTGCCCGTGCTCCTCTTCTGCGACCTCTTCCGTTTCTTATTCTCCCGCGCTTGCTCCAGCTGCTCTTTTCTTGCCAGCGCTGCGGCCCCCCCCCCGCGCCTGAGGGTCGCGCGACCCGCAGCCACAAGAGACCGTTCGAACACAATCAGCCTGCCGGGAGTCTCCTTCCCACACCTTCTCCTATTCTTCCTCCTCCTCCTCTCCGAGGAGTGGGCGTTGGAGCGGGAGCAGATGGCGCGGGAGATACAGTCGCTGCGCTCTGAGCAGGGGAAAGGACCCAGGTGGCGCGTGCTTCCCGCTGTTCTGTTGCTGGCCCAGGTCCTGCTCTCGTAATGAAAGGAATGTCTTGCGTCGGGCCCACGGTTTTTATGAGGCTTCTTGTCGTCCACCAGCCGATCCATCTCGGACCCATTGCCCATTGCCTTGAGCCTTGGTCGGGCCGATTGTCGTTGATCTGGATGCCACGTTTGCTTGCGGAGAAACGTCTCTGGAGAGCCGAGCACCCAGTAGAACCGAACTCCGTGTCCTCCTCCAACGATCGACAGCCTTTTCAAGTCAAGTGGAGCGGCAGTTGCTGAACTCGCATCAGGCGGGCCTGCGCCCACGTGGTCAGCGGACCGAGTATCATCAGGTGGACCTCGCGGGATACCAAGCTGTGTCTGGAAGCAAGAGCTGGATACACATGGTTTTAGACGTGCTTCCACCGCTGGGCCCTCATATGGCTGGGCACGCGGGGCTTTCGCATATGTATGTATCCAGCGCGTGGCCTCTGGAGGTTCTATCTGTGACTCCAATCATGAGGGTTTAAAGCCTCCTGGTACTTCGTGGCGCAGTCAACGCAGTCCTCGGCATAGGACGTGGCTGGTATGATCCGCATTGTTGCTGCCTTCAGGAGGCGTGACGTAGCAGCATCGGCAACATATCGTGTGTCGACGGTGCGTGCAGGGACGGTCGAAGTGGCAGCAGGAGGTAGCGATAGTCGGATCAGCGGGGAGTGTTTGGCGATTTCGCATCAGCATTTCTCGCAGGAGCCTCTGCTTCTCAGCAGTGTTCGTGTACAGCTTCTGCACAGCCTATACGCATGATCTGCTTCTCAGCGCTTCTCTGCTTCTCAGCTTCTGCACAGCCTATACGCATTGCAGCATACGCGTCTGTGTGTGCGTGTGGGGGGCGTAAGGTAGTAGAAAGTTGCCGGTGTCGATGCGGCTTTTGTTGCCAATGGTGACCATACGGCTATCGGTGCTGGTGGTGATTAGCTTGAGGATGTGGAGAAGGAGGAGGCGGACGAGCAGTTGGAAGGAGGTGGGAGGCGGTGAGCAATACCACCATCTCCCAATCAGTTCGAGAGCCGACACTGCAACTTTGCCGACGGAGCCCGTGCTGATACCGCCTACTATGCGATTGGCGGAAGAGCTGGCCGCGCAGGAGCGGCCGCACGTCTGGTTCCCGTGGGACGTGCAGTGGGGTGTTAGTTTGAGCGGCACATGCCGCCCTGCGACCACCTCTATGAGCATCACCATTATCATAATCACAGCTAGCATCAGCACCCGCATGTTTGTCTCACCACCCACCTGAGCACCCCAACCCAACCCGAAGGCCTCAATGTGCCTCCCATTTCCGGTGGGGGGGGGGGGGTCGGTGAACATTTTGCAAAAACACAAGGAAGCCGTACCCCCCTGACCCGAAATTCTCGTCAAATTCGGGTCTTCGGGTTGGGTTGGGGTGGTCTGATAAGTCGTTCTTGTCAGCATCAGCACGGACGGCGGCACGCGTCTCGTTGTCGGTGGTATGCCCTGAGTGAGCATCTTGCATCCTCAACGCCGGTGTTGGCCCCCCTTGGGCCGCCGACGCCAAGCATCTCTGCGGCGAGTCTTGGCGCGGTGATGCCAATCCAGGCTGGTCCCGCTCACTCGGCGCTGGGAAGGGGCCTCCGAGATCCCTCGCCCACTCACCCCATCGTGACCTGAAGTGGGGAGAAAGGAGGAGGGGAGGAAAACGTGCAGGAGGAGGAGGAGGGCCAGAGTAAACCCGGGACGGATCGATGATTCTGGGTGGTCATGTCCAAGGATGTTGGGGGGAGTGGTGGAGTGAACAGGAGTTCATCGCCAGATTTGGTCTCAGCAGCGGCTTGCTCGAGCAACTAATGACCCATGAGAGGTCCAATGAGCCAGGTGACAGCGATAATGTTTCGGATTTGTTTTAGCTCTGCCGCGTTTCGGAGCCAACGGCATTGACGTTGTTTACACATTGAACAGAAGCGAGCATGTATCAATCATTCTGCAGTGCGCCCTCCAGTCCCAAAGTTCCTTCCAGAAGAGCCCCATACAAGCAGTTCTGCTCGCTGGTGACAGCGCCCGCTCGAAAGGCGAGCGACCTGTAGAGGTACCACTCAGGCGATCGGCTCGTTGAAAGGGTCAGCCTTCCATCCCTCCAGCCATTAGGTACATACGTAGTTCCATCACGTCGATAATACTCTCCAGTGATCGGCCCGTTTTGGAAAGGAGCTGCTATTCGGTCCGTGTTGCCGCAAGCTTTCGAGACGAATGCTCTCAGCGCTAAGGCGGCAGCGGCATTTTGAAAGCGGGATGCCTTCTTCGTGCACCGATTGCAAACTTGTGCAGGGAAGTTGCGCGGCCCTGCGGCGGGAGCCAGTATTTGAAAGCCGCGCGACTTCCATTCATGTAGCTGCGCAATGATTCAACAGGGCTGCCCGTGGCGCTGAGAGCCACTTTTCTCAACGCCCTCCACTCGTGTGGTAGTTGCGTGTTGGTAACACGAGTGCGCACGGCGCTGAGGCGAGAGACGCATTTCGAAAATCCTGTTCCGTTATTCTGCGTTACCGTTGCCAGATGTTGAGACGATGGTGCGCGGTGTTGGGGCGAGGTCAGCATTCGAATTGTCCCCCCTCCGTCCGTATAGCGGCTGGAGTTCCAAGCTTCAGGGTCACGATCAGGTGGTGAAGTTGTCCCAGGCGAGGCGCCCTGCCCGCCCTACCAGCACGCCTGGTGGCTCTACGGGGATGAGCTGTTTACAGTCAGTACGTACGGATGGAGGTCGGATGCCGCCAGGGAGGGCTGAAACGCCTTGCCCGCCCTGCCAACACGTCTGGTGGCTCTGTGGGGAGGGGTTGCATACTGTGAGTGGGGATGGAGGTCGGATGCCGCCAGGGAGGGCTGCTCAGGGGCCGAGTCGATCTCCGCAGTCCTGCCTCAGCGAACCGTGTATCTCGACTTGTGCCAAGGAGAAACTGGCAGGTCGCGCGCTGTTTTTCTGACGCGCGCGTGCGCCGTTGGCTCAAACGCTGGCACACATCGTTGGGGAAGGGGCGACTCGCCAAACTAGTTGGTTGATGCCTCGGGGCTGGGGTTCGTCATTCTGCTGGGGCGCGCGGAGCAGACACGGCTGCGCATGGCGGTCGACGTGGACCAAGGTCACGGAACATTTGTTAGTCATCGTTCTGCATTTTGTTTTGCCGTGTCAGAGGGGATATTGGGGGCACGTTCGGGCGCGATAATGGTCGACGCATGAGCGTTCAGAGTGCGCCGTGGGTCTGGGGTGTTATGGCTTGGGGGTAACACGTTCGGCTACCGCGGGACCGAAAGTTGTGTCCCCGAACCGCTGGGGTCTGCCCCTAAGGGGGGGGCGGACAATTTGGGAAGTCCCCATCTCGGTGGTTTTCCCCTGTGAGGTTGGCCGCGCGCGCTGATCTCAATTTGGCTCACGTGCGGCAACCGTCTGGACTCCAGGCTGAGGAGTCCTGTGGCGCCATTTGTCTGTCAGTTGGTTGCAGCGCGCGCGTGCGGGTGCACCAGCCCTTGGGCGGGGCGCTTCTCCATGCCAGACGTTGGTCGCGATGTCGATGGACCGGCCTCGCCGCCGTAACGAGAAGCAGCCTCACTCGCGGCGGGCCATGAAGAGCCCTGGACAAGGGTAGGGGTAATTATGCCCCCGCGCAAGTTTGGCTCTGACCTCGATCTGACCCGATCCGAAGCGAGCCGATCCTCCTCCTCCTCCTCCTCCTCCTCCTCCTCCTCCTCCTCCTCCTCCTCTTCCTCCTCCTCCCCCTCCTCCTCTCCTATGGCTGCAGGCCGATCCTCTGGGATGCTGTTCGCCCGAGATCGGGGGTCCATGGCCCCCCCACGTCGTTGCCGCGCGTGGCCCCCCCCCCCCCCCCGTTGCCCCACCGCTGCCCGTGGCAAGCTGGCGGGTACCAGCCTCCGCACTGCGCCCCACCGCCGCCGGCCCCCCGGTGCAGCAGCCGCCGCGGGCCCGCCGGCGGGGCCGGCCGCGCCACGCGCTCGGAGCGTGACCCGTTCCCCTGAGCGGCGTCGCTCCCCCCTTTCCCCCCTCTTTGGGCCGTCTCCTCTGCCCTGTCCCCTCCCTCCTGCATGGTGGCACAATTCGCCTCAAGGGTACCTCCGTTTAGGTAGAGCCCCGCCAACGCAGTGACCCTGCCTAGCCGCCGACGCAAAAATGCAAAGCTGGTTGGGGTTTTCTGCCGCAAGGGCCCCAGGCACGCCTGACGGCGATGCAGGCGACGGCGATGCAGGCTTCGGTGTTGAAGGCGGGGGTGGTTCGTGGCCAATCCCATTGTAGGCAAGCGTTGGTTGTGGTGTCCTACACTTCGCCGTGCCGTTGTCGCCCGATGCGTTCGCGCATATGAAACGTGGGGGAGTGTGGTTCGTGATTTCCTGCCGTTTGTTTTGCGCGAGTTCGTCGCCGCAAAAACCATATTTCCAATTTCGCCGGTAACCAGCATCGCCGTTGGCGTGGTCTTGGAAGGGTGCCATATGTAAACGGCTCGTGAGAACGATCCCGATCGCATCGCCCGTTCCGCAGGCCACGGCCGACAGGCCGAAATAATTTCCAATCTTCCGTGGCATCCCGCTTCGTGCCGTCGACACATGGGTGCAGAACCGATCCCGCATGCCGGGGCCGCCAGGCCTTCAACATCCCTGGCTGTCCCTAGCGTCCAGCTCGTGCCCCCGACAAATGACGAGAGAAGGGCTCTCACACCCATTGTGCAAGACATGAGTACCACATACGTAACAACATGACAGCCGCCACGACCACGCATACGAAACTCAAGACGCTTCGGCTCAAGGGATATTGCTTGCCCGAGTGCCATCTTCTTCGACAGCCCGATCACCGATTGATCGAGCAATAGTGGTGACTTCATTTCGTTGTTTGTATCTTGTGTTGCATGAGTCGTTCCAGGGCACTCCACAGGGGACGAGTCGGAGTGCGTGCCAACTTGTGACAACTGTTCAATCTTATCCACGCAGGGGAGTGGCTCATGCGAGGCCGAGATCATCTTGACGGACGACCCCTTGGCTATTGCAAGGCATGAGAGGTGAGGGTGTGCGTCTGAATGCCGGCCAATGTTAAGGTGCTGAAGATTCTCGTGCTGACGCAATGCTTGCAAGTTCTTTCGGGATGGCGGCAACCGAAGTTGGGGGACATACGGGTTCAGTGGTGGCACCTGGAAGTGCTCGACTCGTTGGCGCAGGTGGATCTGGAATTGCACGGAGTTCAGTCCCCGTGCGTTGTCAGGTTCACGGCGCTTGAGTGCCCTGATGCGTACTGAAGCCCGACTGAATCATGCCATGGATTTTGTTTGAAAGTTTGAAGAAATGCAACCCGTCTTGGAGTATGCCAAAGACAGCGAAACCATGTTCGAACGGAACGATACCAGTGCCCAGTGGTTCTCGTTTCAGCATGGGCCCCGTGATCAGGTTGAAAAGTATCAGATGATGCGGATCATGTTGTTGGGAACGGGACAAGTGAGCCTAAGACAGGTGCGAGCCGCCAATCATCGAAAATAGAACGTTCGCCCAACAATAATATGACATGCACCGCCGCTGGTACAGCTTGTTTCACTGTACTTCCAAACTTTATATCCCGACTAAGACATATGATTCTCGCGACCTAGAGGCGGACCCTGTTCAAGTGTGCACTGGTTGTACCCAGGTGTGAATCATGCTGCACATGGTCAGCGGCTTGATTGGTGGGCTAATCTGCGAGTGCCCCGAATGTGGCGTCCCCGCCTTCTGTGTGTATAGGATCGGACGTTGGCTTGTGGTGGAACATGGAGAAAGCATGCTTACGACATGCACATGTCACGGGCATTACCATGCATACCGCGTATACTGTGCAGCCGCGTCCACCTTGCAACACACCTGCACACGTGGAACACATGCGTGCAGCGCACACAAGTGGCATTTATAGCATTCGATACGCACGGCCACACGTAACACCCGTAACGGGTGATCGTTGGTACCAGGCATCAGCAATAAGCATAATGATCATGCACGGTTGACACGAATCTGCATAACGGTTGTACAGACAGCAGTCAAACATCGCACATTCGGATTTAACGGGCGGGGCGCTATATACATCATACAAGGTATGGGCATAGCGTACAGTCAGAACAGGCAGCGCAGACAACTACATCTTAAGGACACGCGTGTTATTCATACAAGCTCGAATTCAAAGCACGCGCGGGTAGCTACATGACGGCATGAAGAGCACACGTACGGAACATGCAACAGGAGCATGCGCAGCGGACATGCGTACATTGCACGCGGCATGTACAGATTCGCAGGCACAGTGTGCATGCGAGTATGTGCACACCGCGAGCACACTGTGCATGGATTCCCCCCCCCCACCACATGTGGTCTTCGCCCGCATACTGTGGCGATTGCAGCGTGGCCCCGCCCCGACGCGCCCCACCCGCCAAAGCGTTACCATTACCGTTACCCCCCCTTTCCCATGTCACGCCAGCTGCCGTAAGTAATAGAGCAACTTTTTGCCATATACATACACTGCAACTCTGCAAGTGCACAACTCTGCAGGTGATGCTCGCATTCGCAAGGCGTACAGGTCGAATGGTGTCACACACCGTGCACAATCACACATAGCACGGCTCGCACTGCATACGCACAAAGCAGACTTCGAAAGCACCCGCATTCGTCTCCCAGTGGGGGCCGCTCGAAGAAACACTTACTGTTTTCACATGGAGCCAGCTTGCAACGAGTCACGACTGTTTTCAAGCACACAACAACACCCCCGAAGAAAACGTTACAGTACTGGCACTCATCAGTCTACCTCTTCCCTTTCTCTTCTTCCTCCTCCTCATGCTCCCCCTCCTCCTCCTCCTGCTCCCTCTCTTCCTCGCTCTTCTTCTCCTCCCGCCTCCTCCTCCTCCTCCTCCTCACTCTCCTCCTCCCTCTTCTCCTCCCGCCTCCTCCTCCTCCTGAAGTAATATGGCTTTGGGGCGCCTGAGCCCCGTTAGTACAGCGTTAGTGGACCCAGCTTCCTGGTGTCACCACCCTGGAGGGCACGGTGGCCTGGCGGAGCAAATCGGCCATGCAGCAGAATTGCCTGACGCGAGCGTTGTCTGACCACTGGTTGGGTTGTTGGGCCCCGAGTGGCAAGTAAATCTTGTCAAACAGTGCGGGCTGGCGATTCCCGGCTGCCCGTCCCATGCGAGGGGGGAGGCGGGGCGGTCACCCGTGACAATTGTTGCCCTGGGTGGCGCTATGAGCAGGTGGGTGACGCTGGATCGGAACAACCGCCCGAATGTCCGCCCTGCCCTGGCGGTCACAGAGCTCTTCGCCGCCAGCCCAGAGGAGTTCATTGCATCACCATGCAATGCAAGACGCAACGGAACGGCACGAATTTCGTAGTGGCGCGACGGTGGTGGTGTATGTTTGCACTTTGACTTCTCGCCCCCATGTCCTCCTCCTCCTCCTCCTTCCTTCCTCCCCTCTCTACGCTCGTCTCCTTCCTTCCTCCCCCCCCTCCTCGTCCTCGTCCAGCCCGTCCTCATCCTCCCCTCCTTCCTCTTCTAGGAGAAGCAGCCGCCGACCACGGCGCCCTTCAACCGCCAGGCGTGCGGCGTGAACGTAGTGCTGTCCGAGGACCGGCTCTCTCGCGGCGGTGGCGGGGGGAGGTGCGCCGACTTTCTGCCACCTCTTCGCGCCCTCCCTGCTCCTGCTCCTGCTCCCTCCCACCTCGTCCCCCTTCCCCGTCTCCTCTTCCTCCTCCTCCTCCTCCTCCTCCTCCTCCTCCTCCTCCTCCTCCTCCTCCTCATCCTCCTCATCTTCAACCTCATCCTCTTTCAACGAGCCTTCCAAGATCTTTCGTACACATTACAGCTGCCACAAGGCGGCCTTCAACATACAGGCCAACTTAGTGACCTCCCGAGCGCCCGCAGTCTGCGCGGCCCGTCGGCGGGAGAAACCTTGAGAGTCACTGGCGCTTGAGCGCTTGAGCGCTCACGCCTGGCTCGTCTCGCGGGGCCCAAGCCATGGTCCTCCTCTCTCCTCTTCTTCCTCTTCCTCCCTCCCTCCCCTCCCTCCGCCCTCCTCCTCTTCGTCTTTCTCATCCCTTCCCTCCTCGCTGGATCGAGCGCGGTCGCCGAACGCGGTTTCCGAGGTCCCACAGGGCCGATGTGAACCAGGCCAATCGGTCGTCTACGGGGGCGCGAGCCCAGACATCATCCGGCGCCCCGAACATATCGAGGCGGCCGTCTTCGCCAATCTTTGGCCCCCGGTGGCTGGCTTCGGGATGATTCTCGGGCCATGGCACGGACATCCAGCGGCGGTCGCGCGGCAAGACAACCGCGGCGTCCTCGGACGCATCTCGGCGAGGCGCGGCTGGTGGAGAGCGCCCTGGGGCCCCGACGCCACGAAAAGAACACCCACGAACATGAAAAAAGCTGCGGTACCCGTTCATCCGCGGGCCCTAGATTTTTTTCTCTGCTAAGTATAAGAAGAATCCTGCGACAACCCGGGTTACTGGGCCCGCCCGCCCGCCGTTCCAATATCCCAGGTCAGTTGGCGTTGTTGGTTGAACAGGTCCCGAGGGGGTACACAGGAGTGGTGCGCGCGGGCATAGGTGAGGCTGCTCACAGCGAAAAGGTGAGATTGTCGGCCTGCCCCCCCACACCACACCGACATCCTCCTCCTCCTCCTCTGCCTCCTCCTCCTTCTCCTTCTCGTCCTCCAACTCCTCCGCCGCCTCCTCCTCCTCCTTCAACTCCTCCTTCTCCTCCTCCTCCTCCTCCTCCTCCTCATCCGCCTTCAACTCATCATCATCATCATCATCATCATCATCATCATCATCATCATCATCAGCAGCAGCAGCAGCAGCATCATCAACATCATCAACACCATCATCAGCATCATCATCAGCATTAGCTTCATAATAATCATCATCATCGTCATCATCATCATCATCAGCTTCATCATCATCAACATCATTATCATTATCGCTATCATTATCATCAGCATCACCATCATCATCATCATCATCATCATCATCATCATCATACTCATCATCATCATCATCATCATCATCATCATCATCATCATCATCATCTCACTCCCCTCTGCGCCTCATCCTCGCCCTGCGTTGCCTCAGCGTCGCCGGTGGAGGAGGAAGATGAGGAGGAGGAGGAGTTGAAGGAAAAGGAGGAGGAGGTGGCGGAGGAGGAGGAGGAGGAGGAGGAGGAGGACGGACGGACGAGGAGGAGGAGGAGGAGGAGGAGGAGGAGGAGGAGGACGGACGAGGACGAGGACGAGGACGAGGACGAGGACGACGACTACGTCGACGCCGCCGACGACGACGACGAGGACGACGCCGGCGACGACGACGACAACGACGACGACGACGACAACGACGACGACGACGACAAGGCTGACGAGGGACGTGAGGAGGGCGAGGACCACGGGGGGGGGGGACGGGGAGGTGGAGTAAAGGCAGGGCGCGGGCGTGCGATGGCGGAGGGGGAAGATGCCGCCTCGCCGCCGGGGGAAGAGGACCAGGAGCGTCTCCGCCCGAGGCAGGTGGCCGTTTTCCAGTTTCCGGCCGCGCACCCCGACAGCCGCCCCCCCCCTCCCAGGCGATCGCAAACATGGATCAAATTGGGCGTGGATTAGCGACGGATTCCCGCCGCCGAGCGAGGCGGCACCGGCCGCATTTTGGGGAAGGCACCTCCCCCGATCCATGGATTCACCAGCCTCGAACGTATCCCTATCCCTAAGATGGACACGCTGACACGCCCAAAGGCGATGACAATCTTAGGGATTCGCCCTCAAAAAATGAGGAAATCCCTAAGATTGGCATCGTGATGAGGAGGTGCCCAGCATAGGGATAGGGATATGCTCCAGGCTGGTAAGATTCGGCGACTGCGCGCCAAGTCCATGGATCCCTGATCCATGTCTGCGCGCCCCCGGACCTCCGCGCCACGCGCGGGGCGCCCTCCGCGGCACCGATGGCTGCCGGGGCGGACGGCTGGCCCGCCGAGAAGGCGCCGCGCGAGCGTCCTGGGGCAGCGTCGCTCCCCGAGGGGGGGGAGCGACAGCAGGAGGACGCAGACATCCAGCGCTTTTGGGAAGCCTCGAGGCGGGCTTGGCATCGTTCGGACGTGTGCATTTTTCCCTCGGCGAGGACCATCGAGGAGCATCCTTGATCATTTGGCGAAAAACCGCGCACGAAACCGAAAAAAACACAGGAGATGGACGTCCGAGCGATGCCCAGCGGGGTGTTTCGTCTGTCCTGGGCGGCCTTCCGGCATCGGGATGGTTCCCAGCAGCTGCGCCGCGCAGGGCAGTTCCCAGGGGCACCCGAATCGTCGCGAAGGGCCACCTGAGACCCGAGCCATGAGCCGAGAGCAATGCATCCAACGCCGTGAACAAACATCACGCAGATGGTTGGTCGTTTTCGGCCTCTGAAGGCCCTCGCCTGGTCTCAGGACCGTCAAATTTGACTCGGGATGGCAAGCTGGCCCTGAGGAAATGGGCGGGATTTCTGGGGGGCCAGTATTGAAAAACTCAGCATCGGATGTCTGGGTAGGAGGAGGTGGAGGAGGAGCAGGGCGAATATGGGGGGGGAGGGATGGGGAGGAGGAGGGGAGGGGGAGAGGGATAGGGAGGGGGATGAAGATTAAAGGAGGGAGGAAAGGGAGATAATCAGTGGGAGGAGGAGGAGGAGGAGGAGGAGGAGGAGGAGGAGGAGGAGGAGGAGGAGAAGGACGGCTTCTTGCTCTGCGGCGGGGGTCGTGCCGCGCCTGGGCAGTTGACAGAAGAGGAGGTCCGCTGGCTGGCGTGCGCCGAGCGCCACAGTCGCATGATGCTGCTGCTGCTGGTGGTGGTGGTGCTGCTGCTGCTGCTGCTGCTGATGATGATGATGATGATGATGATGATGATGATGATGATGATGATGATGATGATGATGGTGATGCTGATGGTGATGGTGATGATGGTGATGATGATGCTGATGCTGATGCTGATGATGATGATGATGGTGCTGCTGCCGCTGATGATGATGGTGCTAATGATGATGACGATGATGATGACGATGATGATGATGATGATGGTGATGATGATGATGATGATGATGACGATGATGATGATGATGATGATGAGGATGAGGATGATGATGGTGATAGTGATGGTGATGGTGATGGTGATGGTGATGATGATGGTAGTGATGATGCTGATGCTGATGATGATGCTGATGATGCTGATGATGCTGATGATGGTGGTTATGGTTATGCTGATGAGGAGGAGGAGGATGAGGATGATAAGGATAAGGATAATGATAAAAAGGAGGATGAGAAGGGGGAGGATGGTGGTGGATGTGGTGGTGGGGCGGGTGGTGGTGGTGGTGGTGCTGCTGGTGGTGGTTGTGGGGTGGTGGTGGCCGTAGTGGTGGTGGTGGTGGTGGTGGTGGTGGTGGTGGTGGTGGTGGTGGTGATGATCATGAGGAGGAGGAGGAGGAGGAGGAGGAGGAGGAGAACGAGGAGGAGGAGGAGGTTGATGAGAGGACAAGCAGGAGGAGGAGGGAGGAGGAGGAGGAGGAAGAGGAGGGGGAGGAGGAGGAGGAGGGATTTGATTGGAGTTCCTAGGCAGATCATATTCGCTGTCCCGCCCTGTGGCAGGCCGTGCACCAGGCCTGGCTCCTGATCGCCCGATGCCATATCACCTCGATTCGCGTCTGGGCCCCGCAAGGAGCATCTCGGACGAGGATCGCGACTTGGCGTGCCAACGATTGAGCACTGTAAGTTATATGTACACTGCACGCAGTCACTCGTCTCACACGCCGCTGGATCTCACTGTGTGTGTGTGCTCGTTTGCACGGGCACAATTGCTACAGCAGGCGGTACGTATTGGTGATTGACGGGCTTCATTCCGAGACTACGTGCGAGGAGGAGGAGGAGGAGGAGGAGGAGGAGGAGGAGGAGGTGGAGAATTGGAGCTGGAGAGTTGGAGAATTGGAGCTGGAGTTGGAGCTGGAGAAGGCCGTGGAGGAAGAGGGAGAAGAGGAGAGGTTGAATGGGACAATTATGGGAAAGGGTGAGGACGAGGGCAGGGGAAGAGGAGAAGGAGGAGGAGGAGAAGGAGGAGGAGGAGGAGGAGGAGGAGAGGGAGGAGGAGAGGGAGGAGGAGAGGAGGAGGAGGAGGAGGAGGAGGAGGAGGAGGAGGCGGAGGGGAGGAGGAGGAGGAGGAGGAGGAGGAGGAGGAGGAGGAGGAGGAGGAGGAGGAGGAGGAGGAGGAGGAGGGGAGGAGGAGGAGGAGGAGGAGGGGGGGACGAGGAGGAGGAGGAGGAGGAGGAGGAGGAGGAGGAGGACGAGGACGAGGACGAGGAGGAGCTGAGAGAGGGAGGCTGGCTGGCTGGCGGCCAGCTGGTGAGGAGGGAGGGGATGAGGGACGGGGAATGACGGAGGGAGGGAGCAGGGGGAGGAGGACGAGGGAGAATAGGATGAGGAAGAAAAGGCGGATGACGAGGCGGACCAGGAGGCAAAGGACAGTGGAGAAGGAAGGAGGCAGGAGTGGGGGGCCGACGCCCCCGCAGCTCCAGTTCTGGCTCCAGCTCCGGCTACGGCCATCGGTCTGTGTCCGGACGGAAAGGGAGGGGGCCGGAAGCGGTGCTCGGAGGGGGGCCGTACGCAGCAGAAGGTCCGGAGCGAGGGGGGCCGCACGCGCAGATCTCTCCGTGATTCGGGAAGAGGCCGTCGAAGCGGCGGCCTTCAGGGCAGTCCGTGGGCCTGCTGCAGCCCTGGGACCGGGAGAGGGCCCCCCAGGACCGGAGCCCAGGCCAGGGCCAGGGCCACGTCCTCCTCCTCCTCCTCCTCCTCCTCCTCCTCCTCCTCCTCCTCCTCTTCCCCCAAGACGCGCCCCGCGGGGCGCATGCCGCCCCGCGGCGCGGCAGAGCCGAGCGGGCGACGTGCGGCGCCGTGCTTGGCGGCACCTCGCCATCCTGCCCCAGGTCGGCGAGGCCGGCGGCGCCACGTGCTGACCGCCAGCTCAGCGAGGCAGCCGTCCACGGCGCGCGACCCTGTGACGGATCGCGGTGGCACTCGGCGGCCATGTGCCCTGCGGCACCAGGCCGGATCCCCCCGCCTCTCGGAGCCCGCCAGCGCAGCGACTCGCACGGCCGCGGCGTCAGGTGCCCTCGCTGGGAGCGCCGCCTCTCGCCGAAGAAGAGCAAACGGCATAAGGATAAACTTTAGGCGCTCCGCGCGGACTTCTTGGATCCGCGCCTGGGCCCCCCAGGCGGCGCCTCCGCCGCCCCTGGCGCGCCCTGCGCGCCAGGGAGGGGGGGTCCAGCGCAGATTCAGGAAAATCCGCGCGGAGGGCCAAAGGTTCATGTTTATGCCGTTGCTTCTGCTTCGAACCTGGCCGCGGCGAAAGGTGCCCTCGCTGGGAGCGCCGCCCCTTGGGCACAAAGCCCGTGGCTGCTCCAGAGCGGCCGACGGCACCGCTCTCGCGCTTCTGCTGGTAGCACGGTGGCTGTAGCGGCACTCCGTATTTCGCCAGGGGCCGTGCGCGGGTGCCCTTTTCTCTCCAGGGCACGCGCGCGCGAGCAGCACGGTGCGCAAGGGGCGCGCACCGCCGCGGCGCGAGAAGCGCGAGGGCGGGCGAGACCTGGGATCGGAGCACCCGGGCTTCTGCCTCCGCCTCTTGCTGGGCCTCCCTCCAGCCCGCTCCCGGCGACGACCACCACGGCGCCGTCGGCTCTGCTCTTCTCCGCCAGCTCCGCGCTGCACTCGGCCCCAGCGCGTGTTCGCCATTCGACCTCCTGGGTTGTTTTTGACGGCCCCCGGGCCCGAGGGCCCCAGGGCCCCCCGGAACTGGCGAACAACTTCGACATCCAGGACCCCCTTCCTCCAGGATCGTTCTCTTCATGCTACGGTAGTTTGGCGTCGTGTCGACCGGCGGCGACCCCGCCGCAGGTTTTCAACGCGGAACGCCGCCGGCGACCCAGAGTCAGTCGATGTTGAACGATTGGACGATTCGGCAGCAGCCGATTCTTCAAGGTTCATCAGAGCCCCGAATCATCAGGGGTAACTCGGGTCAGGGGTAACTCGGGTTCCTTTTTCGGGAATCCAAACCCGAGTTACCCCGGACCCGAGTTACCCCGGATAACTCGGGCGCCCAAATTCAACGATCCCCGCGGTGTCAGAAGCCAACGCCGAACGTAGGTGCCCTTGCCAAGCCACGGCGTCTCGAACTCACCCCTTGGGGCCTCCGAGGGAGGCTCAGCGTCTGCACCGATCGCAGCATGGCGGCTGGGGGCCCCCTCGCGGGCCGCGGGCGGGGGCTCCTCGGCCCAGCAGGGCGCGAGGCATGCTTGAGAAGGTTGGGGCTAGGATGATGATGATGATGATGATGATGATGATGATGATGATGATGATGATGATGATGATGATGATAATGATGATAATGATGATAATGATGCTGATGATGATGCTGATGCTCATGATGACTATGCTAATCATAACTGTTGGTGATGTTGTTGATGATGATGCTGATGATGATGACGACGATGGTGATGATGATGAGGATGAGGATGATGATGGTGAGGATGAGGATGAGGATGACGATAATGCTGATGATGATGCTGCTGATGATGGTGGCGATTGATGATGATTATGGTGAGTAGGAGAGTGATTATGATCATCCTGATGATGCTGCTGATGATGCTGATGATGCTGCTGCTGCTGCTGATGACGACGATGATGATGATGATGATGATGATGATGATGATGATGATGATGATGATGATGATGATGATGATGATGATGATGCTGATCGCGGGGAGGGGAATGATTCTGCGGACGCAGCGTACCCATACCGCTACCTCCTTCTCTCGTTTTTCCCGTTTTGGGCCTCCTGGGAGGCCATCGTCGCCACCGCTGGATTCGCTTTGAAAATTTGCTCAACACGAACTCCAGGAGAGGTGTGGGGAGTAGCAGTATCTGTACTTCTTGGTTTCCACAGTGATGGTGTTGATGGTGGTGATGATGGTGGTGGGGGTGATGATGATGATGATGACGACGACGACGACGAGGATGATGATGATGATAATGATGATGATGATGATGATGATGATGATGATGAGGAGGAGGAGGAGGAGGAGGAGGAGGAGGAGGAGGAGGAGGAACGGGGGAGGAGGAGGAGGAAGAGGAGGAGGAGGAGGAGCAGCAGCAGCAGCAGCAGCAGGAAAAGAGGACTTTTTCTCCTCCTCCTCCCTGCCCTCGTTTTTAGAGCAGGGGGAGAATTGGAAAGGAAGCGAGCAAGGGTTGAGTAGGATGAGAGGGACGAAGATATGGAAGGAGAAGAGAAACAGGAGACGGAATGTGGATGATGATGAGGAGGAAGGACGAGGAGAAGGAAGGATGAGGCGGAGAATGATGAGAAGGAGGGGGAGGAGGAGGAGATAATCACGGTACCGATGCACCAGTAGCGAGTTTCAAAGACGTATTCCAGAAGACGTTTTCTGACACCGCCTACGACCACACGACCAAGTGCTTGGACTAGCTGGTGCTCTACAGTTCCGCCTCCAATTGGAAGCGTAAGTACTTGACCGACAATCTCCACTACGACGTCCGCGCGCTTCTGGGCAACAGGTACTACCTCAAGGTCCGCTACCTTAGTTGCGGGCACGCACTCTTGGAGAGTCCAAGAAAGGCACCACGTCGACGCGTACCTTCAACCTCATCAAATTTGTGGATACCACCTGGGAGGCCGTGTTCAACGACGAGGGCCAGCTCGACGGCAGAGATTACATCGTGGGAGACGTGAAGTACTACGCCGGCATTGCGCAGAATCGCAAGTGGAGGGCGACGTGGGTAACCTCGGCAACTTTTGCGACCAAGATGCCAGGGCTATCCCTTCGCCTGCTGGTCTGCACTGCTACCGAAGCGGGTGCGCTCCCAGGCCTGCAGTACCTCACTTCCTACATCGACGTTGCCATCGACGAGCTTATTGTTTTTACACGCGTCGAAGAAACGAGGGTACGGAACGCTCCGCCTGTCCGCCTGCCTACCTTCCGCTCGCCTCGCGTAAGTATTGCGCCAATGCGCGCGCTGCGCGCATGGATGCACAGGGCGAGACGCCTCCAAGCTACTCGCGTGCCTTCTGCACCAAGCCATACAGAAGAAGCAATGCCAGCCACCCTTGCGATGATCGCCTACGGCTTAACATACTGTAACAAAGAACGGGCGTGAACAGTTACCTGCATCATCGTTGCTACCCTCTCGGTGGCCACCGTCTCGGACCAACAGGCTACACACTTACGAAGCATATCTTCGATCTTGTCGACTACCTCGACGACGACAACAACCAATGACACCTGGAGGTTTACCCCGACGTCGGATGTTGGAGTACAGGACTACCTGGCTTCCCACGCCAAGGCAGGGATGTGGTCACGTGACTCGCACCAGCGCGACCGTTGGATATATCTGTTTCGCTAGACTACTCAAACGGTAGACGGCAAGACGTATTTCGAGGTCCGGGACATCAAGATGGCCCTCAGTAGCTATTTCAAATACATAGGCGATGTGATCTCCAACGTCTACAACGCCAAAAGCGGCGATTACATACAAATGGCCAACCAAGCCCTAGGCTTGAGAGGCCCCACCACGGCCAAGAAGAACCAGTACCAATACTGCGTCCCCATTGGCTACTTCAGTACGTTTCCCGCACTGCGTGCCCTTCGACTCAGACAGCGAGGCCTACGTGACGCTCGACATGCTTCCACTTCCACCATCGCGTCGCTCAAGAAGTTTGTTGTGGCAAAGGTGCCAGTGCACTTCATTCCACGAGGACGACCTCAACCGCGTGAGGATCTACTGAATGAGCCACGTTACACATGAGCTGCCCAACGAGCAGAATCTACAATACCAGCCTTGTATTACTGGTGGGGCAAAGTAGGACATTGACTTGCTTATTCCCATGGGCGCGGCCATACTGTACGAGGAGTACTCGGCCCAGATGCTTACTCAACCTATGGCTCCTCACCTAAAGCGTGGCCTTGACAACCAAATACATGGAGACACGAAGAGGGCCCGCGGGGACGACGTACATTGAGGTACCACATTACTCATAATAAAAGCGGCTCCCAATTACTACTCCATATGTTTTGCCGGGGCCTATTCCGGCCGCATGCACACAGCGCGACATTACGATATTACGCCGTCAGTGTTACAGAGTACACCGTGCACCACGTCACGAGCAAGCTACCTCGCCGAACTTCGGCTGAGTCCCCCGCGTGGCCCGCCGCCGCTCTACCCCTATCCTATCCCTCCTTCCTCGTACGTCAGTGTATGGAACGGTGCCTTCCTCTTTTGCGCGCTTCTCTGGAAACTGCCCTCGGCGGCGTCCAGGGGCGCGGCCGTCGCGTCGGCCGCTCCCGTCGGGCGCGCGCGGGCGCGAGGGCGGATTTGGGATCGCCGCGCGGCGCTGCGCCAGTAAGGATGAGGATAATGAAGGATGATGGTGAGGCGGAGGAGGAGGAGGAGGAGGAGGAGGAGGAGGAGGCGAACGACAACGAGAAAAGAGGATGGGGAGGGATGCGGAGGAGGATGGAGGAGGAAAGCGAAAGCGAGCTGGAGGCCGCGCCTTCTGACACGACCAGGAGAAGCGCGCGGATTCCCGGCGCCCCATCAACTTGATAGCTCCTGCACTCTTGAGGCTTGGCCCGTGCCGCGTCTGGTCCCCCTGCCTCTGGCCCCTCTTGCTTCCTTGGTCGCCTCCTCCTTCCTTCCTGTCCCCACACTGCTTCACCACGTTCGTGGCACTGCTGCCGGGTTCGCGTCGCCAGCTGACGCGTGAGCGGTTGCCCTGGGTATGACCTTGGGCCTTGTCTTCGGATGTACGGCCAGCGCCTTCTAAGAATCAGCCTCCTTCCAAGAAGCCTTCCCTACTCCCACTACCCCCTTGTGCGCGCCGCCGAAGGGAGACAGAAAGATGGAGGACGACGACGAGGGCTGGACCTAAACGCTGTTTTGCTGGATTTCGGCTGTGTTTTTTGTTTTCCGTTTTGGGAGGGAGGTACAGGAAAACACGTATTTTTAAAACGAACAGAAAAAACGACACCATAACGGAAAATAACGTGTAGGTCCAGCCTTGACGATGACCGACAGCAGTTCCTGTCCGTTTTTGACGGGGCTCGCTGTCGGTGTCGCCGCGGACGCTGTCCATTCGGAGCAAGTGCCGTCTGTCCAACAGGGCCGCTGCCGGCATCGGGCATCGTACCGTTTTTCGAAGAAGAAAACAACACACACAAACATAAATGTTCGACGCTCCGCGCGGATTTCTTGGATCTGCGCTGGGGCCGCGCCGCCCCTGGCGCACTCCGCGCGCCAGGGAGGGGGTCACAGCGCAAATCTGAGAAATCCGCGCGGAACGTCGAAAGTATATGTGTATGTGTGTTTGTTCTCCCTCTAGTTTTGTCGAACCCATCTCGGGCGTGCCAGTCTGCCGTGCCGTGACTGTTTCCACGCCGCCCTTCATGAGTAGCGGGTTCGTATTTTGTTGTATGTTTTGCGGGGTGGGTAAGATGGTCAGGGGAAAGGCTTCCAGAGATTTCGGGGAGCTCCCTGACAGCTCTTCCTTCTTGCTTCAATTCCTCTTCTCCCCCTCCTCCTTCCGTAGCCAGTTCGACTCAAGTTTTTTTCAAGTGGCCTCGTCCAGCAAGCTGCGAGGCGACGGCTGCTGCTATGGGGAGTTGTCCGAGCACTTCGGCTGTGGCGCACGATGGTCGCGCTATTTAGCATGAGCCCGATGTCGAACAAGCATCCGTTGCCCAGCAAATACCCCTTCTCGAGCAAGCTTTGTCATCATCCCAGGCGGCGGCCATCAGGTACAACGGCACGGGCAGCCTCCATTGCATCCTTTGTTGAAAAACGTGCAGTTGATCAAGCTGGAGTATTTCATCTACTTGCACACCCCTGAGTTGCAGATGCCTAAGTGCCAGGATGTTCCGATGCAGTGGGTCCTCGATGTGGACGTCGAGTTGGATTCGGGCTCCCTGGAGATCATTTCGGTCAGCTGTTGGTGAAACGCGAAGCACAAACTGGATCTGGACGGTCACCACCTCCAGACTTTGTTCTGTCGTTGTTCTCGTTTCGTCGCCGGCGCGCTCCACACCGCCGAAAGCAAGTATCCTTGGTTGGTTGGTGATCGTATTCTGATTTGTTCAAGACGCTGTGTGATGAATGAGGGCTACTGCTGCGGCAGCGGTGACTTCCGGCCCGCATGGGTCTTCATTGACAGGATGGGCATCGCACAGGACCAGCCCAAAGGCACCCGCACGACGGACGTTACTGCTGCGTTCAAGCGGGAAGAACGTGAGAATCTGGTAGTGGCACAAGGGAGCCCTTAGTTGGAGGTTGATGCCCCGACCTTGTGTGTGTTCGGCGTGCGGGCTATGATTCCAGCGGGCGGCCGACCTTCGAGCGATGCATCGCGGGCATCATTTCGAGCGAGCGCAAGGTGCTGCTGATCGACGAGCATGGGCGCAGTGATCTGGAGACGGCAGGCCAGGACTAGATGCAAGTGTCGCTCGACCTCTATGACGCTAGCGGTGGTGTGGACAACGGCGATGTAGGATTCGGCATTGTAGATGGGGGTGGTTCGTGGCCGACCCGGTTGTAACAAAGCTTGGTTCGTGGCTTCCTGCACTTATCCGTGTCGTTTTGTTTGATGTTGTTCGATGTTTTCGCGTGTTCAAGACGCAGTGATTTCGTACAATTCGTTCAACGCGAAGCCGGCGCCGCCAAAACCATATTCCCAACATCGCCGTTAACCAACATGGCCGTTAGCGCGGTCTCGGGACCGAGTCCGCGAACCACCAATTTCCCCTAACGCGTTCAAAGGGCTGTTCCAGGACAAGATCTTCACGGAGGGTTTCGACAAGGACAAGGTCGGCATCCTTCGTTACCGTGACACACTCAGGACTATCACTGGCGACGCCAACGATCTGCAGATGCAGAACTTGGGCTTCGGCGGTCCGCAGGAGAAAGAGGTCGTGAAGCTGGTGCGCGCGCGTGGTCGCGTACGGTCGCCGGACCTGTCCAGCAATTCCATATCGGTGCCATTTGAGGACTGGCGACACTGGCCCTGAACATGCAGCTCACCTGCTTGGATTTGAGTTTTTAGCTGGCAGCTCTCCAGGAACATCAAAGTCGTGCAGCCCCTCGTCAGACTGACCGTACTGAAGTTCTGCAAGACCCAGGTCACGGGCGACACCAACGCTGTGGAGCCCCTCGTCAATTTGACCTGGCTGAGCCTCTCCGACACGCAGGCCAAGGGCGACATCAGGGCGGCGCAGCCCTTCGTCAACCTGACCGTACTGAAGCTCAGCAAGACTCAGGTCGCGGGCGACACCACGCCGGTGGAGCCTTACGCCAAGTTGACCATGTTGGACCTCGCCGCTATGCAGGTCACGGGCGACACCTGGGCGGTGGATCCCATCGTCAACTTGACCTGACGGCACGGGCGACATCTGGGCGGTGCAGCCGCTCGCCACTGTGCCCTGCCTGAACATTTAAAATTTGGGGGCCACGGGCGACATCGAGGTGGTAGAGCGCATCGCCAAGCTGAGCACGGTGAACTTCTGGCACATGCAGGCCACGGGCGACATCAAGGCGGCGCAGCCCTTCGCCGAGTTGGCCTTCCTTACACTTGTGCCCCACCAAGGTCATCAACGACATTTGGGACAGACGGACTTTCGTCAATTTGACCGAGCTGTGGCTCAAGGGCGCCAGGGTCTCGGGCGACATCCAGCACATGCAGCCTCTCGTCAAGTTGACCGAGCTGGTGCTAAACGACACCCAGCTCCCTGGCGACGCCCAGGCGCTGCAGTGCAGACCCTGACCAAATTGACCGACCTGGACCTCAGCGGCGCTGGCGTCTGCGGTGACACCCAGGCTGCGCAACGTCCAGGCCTTTAGCTCGTGGGCTCCACGTTCGTGAGCTGCCGTTGACCGAGCGGGGCCAGCCTGGCAGACAGCAGCCTGCCTCCTGAACACGAGGGCAGCTTGAAGATGTGGCGCCTCGCTTGGCGGCGGCCCCATTCCGCTCCCTCCCTCTCATCCTCTCCTTCCCCCCCGGCCACTCCGCTTCCGTCCGCCCTCCGCGCCCATCTCGCGGGCGTCGCGCACGGGCCGCCAGGCCAGACGAGGGGAGGGAAGAGGGGGGGACGGGGGCGGGCGGGCGGGCGGAGGGCGCTCGAGCGCGCACGCGCCGTGGCCGCGGCGCCAGAGCAGCACGCCGCAGCTCGGGCGTCTGCCCGCGTGGTCTTCGCCACCAGCGCTCGTCGCGAGGGCACGCGTGCTGTTGTTCGACGTGCTTTCGAGATTCAGAGCAGCTGCGAAGCTGGTACTCAGTGGTAACTGATGAAGAAGTGTGTGATGCAGAAGTCTAGCACTCTAGTACGTCGGTATCGATTCAGTATCGTACTGTTCTCCCAATATTTCTTGGCCTCCTCCCCGTCCTGTCGCCCTCATCCGCATTCAACTCCTTTTTTTTCTTCCTCCTCCTTCTCTTCCCCTTCCTCGTCCTGGTCCTCCCCCCCTCCTCCACCTACTCCTCCTCCTGATCCTCTTCCTTTTCCTCCATCTCGTTCTCCCTTTTCCTTTCTCCTCGTCCTCGTCCTCGTCCTCCTCCACCTCCTCCTCCTGCTCCTCATCCTGTTCCTCCATCTCCTCCTCCCTTCTCCTTCCTCCCCCTCCCCCTCCTCCTCCTCCTCCTCCTCCTCCTCCTCCTCCTCCTCCTCCTTCTCCTCCTCCTTCCTCATCCCGCCCTCTCGTATGCCTGTTTGTCCCACCTCCCTGCTCCCCCCTTCCTCCTCCAATTGTCCTGGCGCCCGAGGTGTTCGACTCGGCGCCGCAGGGGTACGACTACGACGATTTCAGCCTGATGCCCGGGCAGGTCTCCTTTGAGGCCGCCGAGGTCGACCTTGCGGGCAGCCAGGGGACGCCACCGATCCGCTTCTCGGGGAGGAGGAGGAGGAGGAGGAGGAGGAGGAGGAGAAGGAGGAGGGGAGGAGGAGGAGGAGGAGGAGGAGGGGGAGGAGGAGGAGGAGGAGGAGGAGGAGGAGGAGGAGGAGGAAGAGGAGCAGGAGGGGGGAGGAGGAGAGGAGGAGGAGGAGGAGGAGGAAGAGGAGGAGGAGGAGGAGGAGGAGGAGGAGGAAGAGGAGCAGGAGGGGGAGGAGGATGGAGGAGGAGGGAGAAGGAGGAGGATGAAGAGGAGGGGGAGGAGGAGGAGGAGAAGGAGAAGGAGGAGGAGCAGCAGGAGGAGAAGGAGGAGGAGGAAGAAGGAGGAGGAGGAGGAGAAGGAGGAGTTTTGCCCTGACAAAGAGCAGCCGCAAGCGTACGAGCCAGAGGCTGTAAAAGTCAATGGTCAGCGATGGAGACGCTACTCGACCCAGAGCATCGCTTCGCGGGCTGAGTCGTCGTCGTCGTCGTCGTCGTCGTCGTCGTCGTCGTCGTCGTCGTCCGAGTCGCTGGCATCAGGGAAGCCATCAAACTTAGCCCCCATGGCCGGCTCAGCCTGGAATGCAGAGAGGACGAGAGTGCTCCTGCCCCGACCCGCCCCGCCCCCCACTCTCGACCCACTTCCCGCCCCAGAGGTCCGAGGAGGAGGAGGAGGAGGAGGAGGAGGAGGAGGAGGAAGCGGCGGCAATTTAGCCGTCTCGCAGAACCTCCGTGCACGCAGCGAAACTGGAGGGCCGAAACGCAGGCCTGCCTTGGGGCGCTCTCCTTTCAACATGTTCTGCGGGCGATGGCACCTCGAGTCCTCAACCCACGTGCCGGCACGACGCGCGAACGGGAGACATTCTTCCGAAAGGCCCCCGGCAATGCTTCTCCGCATGCGCACCGCACGGTGAGCAGAACAGGACGGGCCCAGTGCTGTGGAGCGCATGCCGACCTGCACGGTGTTGGCACGTAGGTTGGCGAAGTTCCAGTCGGGATCTGGCCGACCGCGGGCAGATCATGCGCTGAGAACGCCGGCTCATGCACGTGATCGCAGACGCATGTCGCGAGTGAGGACGAGGCGGGCCCAGGCCCCCTTCAGTCGTGCTTCTAGCTCTACCCCGCGCCCGAGGCTGAGCATCTTCTGGAGTGGCGGAGCCGAGCCGAGCCGCGACACGAGTGCAAAACTTCAGAGGAGGAAACGGTACCTACACCTGTACCCTTCCCTCGTTTTTCCCCTTTTTGGACCTCCTGGGCGGCCCTCGTCGCCACCGCTGGATTCGCCTCGAAATCTTGGTCAGAACGAACACCGGGAGAGGTCCGGGGAGTAGCTGTATCAGTATTTGTTGGTTTTCCCCAAACTGGGCAGCCATCTTGATTGCTCCGCGGGAGTCCTCGTGAGGCTCCCGTAAATACTGTCAGGGTGAAGCAGTGCCCCCCACTTGGCCGATTCATCAGCCTTGGCATTCCCGAAACGCTGCCAAACTGTGATCAATCCGTCAGCTACTGCAGAGGCGGGCGTGTGAACCTTCACGGAAGACACCTTCACCGAGTCCGCCCCCGCGATCAGCCACCAACGTCCAAACTTCCCTCCAGGGTAAGGCGTGGGGATCATTGGCAGCCGTGCCAGCGCCGATCCCTTGACGCCAGGTGTCGACCAGTGGCTTGTAAACAGTAACGAACTTCAGCTGGATGCCCATATCGCAAAGCCCGCAAAGCCATGACAAGACGAAGCAGCTCAGCAGCGGGCACGGACCGGAGTCGGAATGGGAGCGGGCCGCGCATGCGGGCAACTTCGCGCCAAGCGGAGTCGAGCGATCAAACACCCCCCCACAGCGACGCGGGCGTCTACAACGCCCATGCGTGACTAAGCCATCTCTGAACACATGCACATCGAGGAGGAGGTCTTCTGAGCGCAGCGTCCAGACGACCCTCGCTTCACGGTGCGGGCTGGAAAGCAACCGCGACGGGTCCGGAACACGAGACCTCGTCCAAATTAAAGACGCATCAGCCGCACTCTTCGCGAGGTCCAGCATCTGACCAGCCAGCGGGCATTCAGCCGCGTGGTCCTGTTGGCACTCTGACTTCACAGGGCAGTCATCATGCCTATGCCAGCACGTCCTCACAGACCTGCATGCCAAGCACTCGGGCGAAATAGCCCCACCTGCCTTGCATAGGCGTTGCTGAGACCAGGCCCCCCGGCAAGAATGCACTTGAGGAGGCCCCGGCGCCTCGGGGCCCAGTCAAGGCCTTGGGCAGATGTGAGCCACAGGGGCCCCCAGGGGCTCCAGGAGGGGAGGAAGCGGACAGAGAGAGGCCCAAGATGAGTGCCTCGCGAGAACCTGTCGCCACAACCAGCGCCCCGTGGCCTCATCAGCCAATTTACACCATCCTTTGGAGACATCTGCTCGACGAGAGGGGGTTCTCGGTGGGCTTCCCTTCGGACGGGGGTGAAAACCTCCCAGCCAAGACGGACCATCGTGCCCACGAGGGCCCGATGCAGGCCCGAAAACGTCCGACCAAATCTTGGACTCGGGTAGAACCGAAAGCCTAGCCAAAGCCCCGCTCAGAAGGCGAAGCATCCTTGGCGCCCGACCGTCCCAGAGCGCCTGGGGCCGCAGAAAGGTCGTGGCGCGATTGCACTCGAACGCCGGGTCAACCAGACGACCTGCGACCAGCATGTCGAGCGAATGAGACCTTCTAGAGTGCCTGAACGCACAGCCCTCCCGAGCAATCTGCCTGGCCCTCAATAGGTCGTAGAAATCCGGATTTTGTCTAGAATACGCTCCCATGATGAGCTGGGGATTTCCGTACTTATATTCAGTGCTCGAGCTTTCTGTGCGCGGTTTCATATCATACTTTGTACTGTGTGATTCGGCTGGATACCCAGCCCACGGCGTTTGCTAGAGGAAAAGGTCATAATTTCCCTTCCCCGATTACAGCAGAGGTGATAGTGATTTCATCTTGTTGTCTCAGCTAAATCTTGTCGAGTATACCGCGACGAGTCCATGCGACAGAGGAGGAGAAGGAATAATTCCGTAGCCATCTTGGCTCATGCCGCTTCTCCCCATCATCTTGGTTCGACGTGCTTAGCTCATGATGCCTGGATCTGGAAAGATGTTCGATGGCTGCGGGACCCGCCCTAGATCTGGCGGGAGACAGGGACTGTGTTTCGCACGGCAGCCAGGAGGCAACGGCGTGTTCGAGCCGTGCGGGTTGTAGACAATCTCGCGCGAAAGCTCAGAAATCACCAAGAAGAAGGTGGATGCACGCCAGGAGTTGGACGCAGATGTGCTCAACGAGGCAGTTTTCCTCGCGATTCGTTCGTTGGTGGCTCCAGAGTTGTTGGTTAGTATGCTCAGCGATCGCCTCACCAAGCTCGGTAAGTCGTTGTTGCTGCATTGGGAGCTCGATGCCCAGCAAGGGCAACACAGCCACATATGGGCGAGGCTCTGCGGAACGCGCCTGGAGTGTGTAAACAGTATATACGTGTCAAGAAGGATGGTGGCAAGGCGAGGCGCTGTTCGACCATCTTGTCTTGCCAGCTAAACAGCTCGCTCCAGCAAGCAGGCAGTGCCAGACAAGCCAGTCGTGCCCGAGGATGTCAAGCTCGTTTTCCAGTTTGCGAGCACATCGTCGCCCAGACTGGATGCACAAGGGCGACATGAACGGTGCCGTGTGGCAGCACTGGCCAAATTGCGGGCAGAAGCTGCTGCGTTCGTCCTGGGTGCTGAGCGCTGGGAGGCGTTGGCGGAGAAACCGCTCGTGGAGTTCGTGGAGGGCCTCGCTTGCACGTGCGGCACAACGGTCTTCTCCTATTATGGGACGGCGGAGCACGTGCAAACGCCGTGGCGGTATCCAACTCGGGGCGTCTCCCCCGCCCGGGTCGAAGGCTCTGAAGGAGGTGGGCGAGGCCGAGAGCCCGCCGCTGGACGTGCCATGTCACGGAGAGCAGCTGGCTGCTGATGACGAGTCGACTGTCCAGCATATGCACTCCCATACCGTGGGGGGCCGTCAGCGCCAAGAGGACGACGAGGATGAGCCGATTTGAGCCGCAGCCGTTCAAGCGGAAGCTTGCCATGATCTCACTCGGACCCGCAGAGTCCGTGTCGCAGGAGATGGAGCCTCCTTCTTGCAACAAGCAGTGGCGACAGCGGTGAAGGGTAAAGTCGTCATCGTGGTATCGAAGCCAGCAAAGTCGAAGCCCACCGCCAAAGCACTCTGCCATACTGGAGGCCGCTTTCGCTGCTGGGTACCTGATGTGTGGCTGTATTCTTTGAGTGGTTTATGGCTTGAGCTGCACTGGCGAGGCCCTCCCTGTCATCTTCCGGATGCTGGTGGGCGTCCTTAACTGTTCGGCAACACTTTCTCGGCGTTCGTCGGGGTCGTCTTCGGTGGGAGGGCACGGCAACGGTATGCTTTGTTCCCGTTCTTCGACCATTGTATTGTACAAAGTCTCAAGGACTTCCTGAAACCGTGCTGCTGGTTGGGCGGGCTCGTTCGTGTTCGCTTTCATCGGGGTCGTGAACTTCGGCGCGAAGGCCGAGTTGCTCTTCTGAGTACCCTGTTCGTGCCTTGCGCAGCGGGAGACGGGCTCCCAGGCTCCAGAGGCTCCAGAGGAGGAGGGCGAAAGGTAAGATAAGACACGGCAATGGGCCCGCATCCCTCTGTCTTGCCAGCACTTCCGCGGCGGAGCGAACGGAGCCACGGGCAAAGTTTGCATGTGAACCGGAGCGTGAAAAACGCGGGATTCCGAGTTCACCCCCGTTTCCCGTGACATTGACGAGGGTGCGCCCGTCGGGCAAATGGCTAGCGCCATGTAGTTCGAGGGGGGGCCCGAGGGCCCCGACGGGCTTGGAAGCTGGGCCCCAAGGCACGCTCACCAACGCATGAGGTACGCACAGACCCCAGAAGACGGAGAGCTCGGGGCCACAAGGCCCGGAATGTAAATTCCGAGGCAGACCAACAGTGGGGCGGACCCCGCGGGAACGTAGTACAAACAAATGAGTGTGGCAGGGCATTGGGCGACCGCGCGTTGCGAACGAGGCCCCGCGGGAAGAAAGGCCGTCCACGACAACGGCGTGCAGCGCCAGCAGCATATCAAGGCTCATGAGCGTGTCGTAGTGCACGCCGCACTGCCGTCCCAGCAGCACGGTACGCAGGCCAAACCGAGCGTGATAACCACCAGGCGTCCAGCCAATATGTAGTCCCCACCAGAAGGGCAGCAAAACGTGAGCGACGTACCTTCCCGTTGGTGGCGTGGTTACCACAGGAACGTGAGCTCTACGGCCAAGCACGCACTGGGCGGCGCCACGCCACGGTGCGGAATGGCCCCTAGTTCTGACATTTCGAAGCGCCGAGACAGCCTCCCAGCCAACAAATTGAAATTCCCGCCATCGGGGTAACACAACGTAGTGGCACGGTTACCACAGGAACGCGAGCCCTACGGCCGAACACGCACTGTGCGCCGCCGCGCCACGGGGCGGAAGGGCCCCCCGCTCTGACACTTCGAGGCACTGAGACGCTTCACAGCCACCAGCGGTCATTCGACAAGGTGAAATCTCCGCAGGGGTGCAGCAACACGTGTGCAACGTACATTCCAGTTCGTGTCTCGGTTACCACAGGAACATGGGCCCTGCACTTTGAATACTTAGCGTCTACCGAATTTTGAACTATTTCCTCCATTGCGCCTGGTGGCGCCGCGCCCAGGGCCCTGCGAGCGCCGATCTCCTCGAGCGCCTTGTGCAGGACTCCGCGGAGCACCAATGGCGAGGGCAGCTGCTGCTCGTCGGACGTTGGCGGTAGGAGGAGGAAGAAGAAGAGGAGGAGGATCGAGGAAGGGGGGGAAGGAGGAGGAGGAGGAGGAGGAGGAATAATAGGAAAAGCAGGAGGCGGAGGAATTGCTCCCCCATTGGCTATTCGCCCCTATCGCGACCAGAACTGGCCTGGCCAGGGCCGTATACAAATGGGCTGCCTTCTTGGGAGGCCAGGCCCTGCCGCTGTCCGCACTTGGGTGCGGGCAGGGGCTCGCCCGCGGGAGCTCGGAAGCTGCGAGCGGGCACGAGCGAAGCGTACCCGCACTGGTGAGAGCCTTTTTGTCTAGGCTTCCTGGCTGGGGTCGGAGTAGATGAGGTCGGAGGATCGCGCCGCATCTCCGATGCATCGGCGATGCGGCTCGATGTGGGGCCCAATTTTCTCCGCGCCAACGTCACCGATGCACCGCCGACGACGCCAGTACATCGCCGGTGCATCGCCGATGTATCGCCGATGCATCGTCGGTATCGGTGATGCTGCGCGACTCTCCGGCCCCATCCACTCGGACCCCATCTAGGAGGCCTTTTACTTGCTGGTCCAATTCGATGGGCGGTAAGGGTTGGGTTCGCGCGAGTGGCGTGAGTACACTCAAAGGGGGGGACAGGCACCGATACCGCTATCTTTTCCTCGTTTTTGCCTTGTGGGGCCTTGGCAGACCCTCGTTGCCACGGCTGGATTCGCCTCGAAATGCTATTCAGAACGCGCCCCAGGAAAGGTCGGGGGAGTATCGGTCGGTATCGGTACCTTTTTACCAGGGGTTGCTGAAGGTGGCTCTCGCCCAAGGTGCCCCCCCAGTTTTTCGCTTCGTTTTGGCGCCCTCTGGGCCTCGTGATGGGGTGCTCTGGAGGCCGTGATGGGCCTTGGGAATCCTGGGGTCACCTTGGGCGAGGGGCACTTCTGGCAACATCTGATCCTACCTCCCCAGAAGCAGGGTTTCACCGCGCGGACAGTCCGCGAGCAAGCTGACCGCGCAAAGTCGCGCTTAGGCGCCCCCTTGCCCACGCGGCGTGCCTCCAGGGGCGGCCTGCGTAAGCCACCGCGTAGGGTCGCCCTTGCCTCGTGCGTGCTGTCCGCGTGCCTTCGTCGCCCACGTGTGGATGCCTGGGTCGGCGTCCGCCCAGGCAGGCTCACCAGGAACATCACGCTCCGCATGCCGTTCGTCGGGGTCGGCGCGAGCGTCGAGTGCGAGGCCGAGGCGCCTCCGGGCCGCCCAAGCGGCTCCGCGGCTCCGCTGAGCAGAGAGCGAGAGGACGAGGTGGAGGAGAGGGAGGAGGCGAAGGAACAGGATGGGGAGGGGGCGTGCGTGCAGGAGGCGGGTGAGGGGAGAGGGAGAGAGCGGAAGAAGGAGGAGGAGGAGGAGGAGGAGAGGAGTGGGTCGGAAGGGAGGGAGCTGGGAGCTGGGATCATGGAGCAGGCAGGTGGGAGGAGTGTAGATAGAGCAGTGGAGCAGTAGGAAGGATGATGAGGAGGAGGAGGTAGGAGGAGGTCATTGGAGGGGGTCATTCGGCTTCCCTCTTTCCACCTTGGCGGTCGGCACCGTTACTCTGCGCCCTTTCTGGGCACTCCGCTGCTCCTATACGACATGCCTACACAATACCGCACGGGCCTGCCGTCTAATTCACAGAAATGTGTTCACCATTGTGTCCAACATTTTGTTTCTTGCGCCATCAGAACCACGTTAAACAAGTAGATAGAAGGATTTTGGAAGTTCCCAGCTGCTTGTGACTTCAGTCTGGCAGTGCTCCATGCACGATTTGGACAACGCCTGGGAACTATACATTGGGAACTGCAGGGAGACTGCACGGTCTTCTCGCGATTTTCATTCAAGCCGTTATGTCCTGATTATCGCGAACTCGGTCTTTCTACCGTGGGCGCGTCTTCTTCTCATCCATTGGGATCCGCAGCCGTTTGATTCTCAGCCTGACCGCAAGAGTGCGGCCTCGACGATTGAGTGGTGATGTGCGTCTGTCCGAGGCCCCTTGCTGACCCGCTGCATGGAGGCGACTTCTTTTGGGGTCCTCGTGCGAGCATCTGCATTCCAAGATGCAGTTGTGTTCAGTGCGGCGGCCACCCCCTCCTGGCGCAGGTAATTCCAAGCACCGCAGGGAGTTGCGGTCTGCCGAGCGAGGACTATCTCCCACGAAATCCATTGTCCGACAACACGGGGCAGCGAAGCAATGGATTGCCGCCCTCAGGGCCCTCGGATGTGCGCTGCGAGAGCGCGAGACCGTTGACGTTATCACCTACAATGCCGTCGTCAGCGCGTGCGGGAAGAGCAACCAGTGGCGACAGGCACTGTCGGTGCTCTGCGAGCTCCGCCGGGCTTCGTTGCGGCCACCTGTCAGCACCACCAATGCCATAATCAGCGCGTGCGAGTGGCAGCGAGCGCTGTCGCTGCTGGACGGTCAGGAGCGCCTGCGGCGATGTCACTGCCCCCCCAATACATTCACAATCAACTTGAGGCTGTCAACTAGGTCTGGCTGAGGCGCTTCTGGCGGTGAGCAAGCAAAGTGCGGATGGGCCCAAGGCTGATTTGAGTTCACGAGACAAGCGCGGTATGCCATGCAATCTCGCGAGGCCTCTGGGTGACATGTGTGGTGTGTTAATGTCACGACGCGCTCCAGCATGCATCCGAATCGTTAGAATTGGAGTGTGTCAGGTCAGGTCTTGATACGCTCAGCAGAAGTTCGGAGTTGGTGTCAGGGCTGGGGTATGGGAACTGGGTGCGGGTTAGGAGCGTGATTGTGGCTCCTTTCTTCGAGTTTTTAGTCAGAATCATGAACAGGTTTCTGTTTCGTATTGATGGTCGTGTTCGGCTTGTGCTTAGGGCTCGGCGGAATGTCGATGTCATTGAGTGCGTTGCGGGGGGTGCTGGCCATGGTCTGTATGAGTGTTGATTCAGGATAGGGCTTGTGCCAGCTATAGTTTGGTCAGGGCCAATTGTCAGGATTAGTTCTCGGGCCCAGTTCTGGGGGCACGACTTGCGTTCAGGACTACGGGGGGGGGACTTCGGTTACGCAGTGTCATGGTTTAGATTATGGCTTGGATTCGGGATGGTATTGTGATCGAGTGTATGCTCGATATGGTTCGAGTTTGGACTTGGGCTTTGGTTACGGTGGACTGAGCTTGGGGTTTGACTCATGTGTCCATGTGTGGGGACAGAAGTAAAAGTCGATTCAGATTCAGGCCAACTAACCTTGCTTTGGCTAGGGGACCAGGTATGCCTGGGTTGAAAATTAAGGATGGGTTTAGCGTCAGGGTCACGTTTAGGGTACGGTTAGGGTCAGGGGTTGATGGGGTCTGGTTACGGCTCTCGTCTGAGATGTCGCTTTTATGTGCGAAAGCGAAGGTGATCTAGAATGTGGTGGAGGCGGACGCGGAGGCAGCGGAAGACAGTCCAGATGAGGGCTTCCCTGTGAGCGAACGTGTTGCGATGAGGATGATCATGAGGCGGAGGATGGAGAGGAGGAGGAAGAGGAGGAGGAGGAGGAGGAGGAGGAGGAGGAGGGTGCACGGTAGAGTCGTGTCATATCGGCACGGCGGCGACCCAAGCTCGGGCGTTCACCGTTGAACGCGGGCCAATGGCGCAGGTTGGGCCGTTATCGAACGGTCGGCTCTGTCGGAACGCCGCGATCGTGCAAGGTTAACTGATCCACTCGGTGTCAGAAGCCAACGCAGAAGTCACCACGACACGAGCCGGCCTGCCTTAGGAGGCGAGGACCGGGGAGGGATGGGGAGAGGGGCGGCCGCCTCAAGCGCCTGGTGACCCTGGAGGGGCCGGCGAAGCTGGGGGACGTCGCGCTCGAGCCCACCGTGGTGAGCTACACCGCCGCCGTGAGCGTGTGCCAGAGGGCCGGGCAGTGGCAGCGAGCGTTGCTCGTTCTAGGCCGGCTTCGGCAGGCTGCGCTCGAGCCCGACGTCGTCTGCCTCAACGCCGCGATCGGCGCGTGCGAGCAGAGTGGGCGGTGGCAGCGGGCGCTGTCGCTGCTCAGCGAGATGCGGCAGCGGGCGCTGGCGCCGAGCGTCCGGAGCTTCGCCGCCGCGGTGAGCGCGTGCGAGAAGGGCAGGCAGTGGCAGCGGGCGCTGTCGCTGCTGAGGGAGCTGCGGCGGGCGGCGCTGGATCCCAACGTCATCGCGCCTACAGTTAAGTCGGCGTGTCCCTCTACTGGAGGAATATTCCAAAATTGTAGGACAATAGTACGGGGACGTTTTTTCGATTATAGTGCGACTAGTTTTGAATGTTTTTGTTGTGATTTGTTCCCAACCATCTTGTGGTGTTGGGTCCTCGTTTTGAAGAGACAGCGCCCCGCGTCACCTGCTCACTCCTCCTCCTCCTCCTCCTCCTCCTCCTCCTCCTCCTCCGCGAGGTACTGCTGATGTGCCAGGAATGCTGTCGGGGGGAGCCTGAGTTGTTGTGGCACAGCCGCACGCGGGGACCGCCACCAATTGTGGCACACCTCTCACACGGTTCGTGGCCCCACAGGTAGCTCCACCGAAGGCCCCAGTGGCACAGCCGCGTGCGGGGACCGCCGCCCATTTTGGCACACCCCTCACACGGTTGGTGGCCCCACAGGGAGCTCCACCGAAGGCCCCAGTGGCAGAGGTCGCATGCGGGGACCGCCACCCATTTTGGCACACCCATCACACGGTTGGTGGCCCCACAGGGAGCCACCGAAGGCCCCAATGGCACAGGCCGCACGCTTTGACCGCCACCCATTTGGGCACACCTCTCACAAGGTTCGTGGCCCCACAGGGAGCTCCACCGAAGGCCCCAATGGCACAGGCCGCACGCTTTGACCGCCACCCATTTGGGCACACCACTCACAAGGTTCGTGGCCCCACAGGGAGCTCCACCGAAGGCCCCAGTGCTACAGGTCGCACGCGGGGACCGCCACCCATTTTGGCACACCCCTCACACGGTTCGTGTTGGGAGACACCGCTTGGCACAGGCCGCACGCTTTGACCGCCACCCATTTGGGCACACCTCTCACAAGGTTCGTGGCCCCACAGGGAGCTCCACCGAAGGCCCCAGTGCTACAGGTCGCACGCGGGGACCGCCACCCATTTTGGCACACCCCTCACACGGTTCGTGGCCCCACAGGGAGCTTCACCGAAGGCCCCACTGGCACAGGCCGCACGCGGGGACCGCCACCCATTTTGGCACACCCCTCACACGGTTGGTGGCCCCACAGGGAGCTCCACCGAAGGCCCCAATGGCACAGGCCGCACGCCTTGACCGCCACCCATCTTGGCACACCTCCCGCACGGTTCGTGACCCCACAGGGAGCTCCACCGAAGGCCCCAGTGGCACAGGCCGCATGCGGGGACCGCTCCCCATTTTGGCACACCCCTCACACGGTTGGTGGCCCCACAGGGAGCTCCACCGAAGGCCCCAGTGGCACAGGTCGCATGCGGGGACACCGCCAATGTAGGCACACCTCTCACACGGTTCGTGGCCCCACGGGGAGCTCCACCGAAGGCCCCAGTGGCACAGGCCGCATGCGGGGACCGCCACCCATTTTGGCACACCCCTCACACGGTTGGTGGCCCCACAGGGAGCTCCACCGAAGGCCCCAGTGGCACAGGCCGCATGCGGGGACCGCCACCCATTTTGGCACACCCATCACACGGTTGGTGGCCCCACAGGGAGCTCCACCGAAGGCCCCACTGGCACAGGCCGCACGCTTTGACCGCCACCCATTTGGGCACACCTCTCACAAGGTTCGTGGCCCCACAGGGAGCTCCACCGAAGGCCCCAGTGCTACAGGTCGCACGCGGGGACCGCCACCCATTTTGGCACACCTCTCACACGGTTCGTGGCCCCACAGGGAGCTCCACCGAAGGCCCCAGTGGCACAGGCCGCATGCGGGGACCGCCAATGTAGGCACACCTCTCACACGGTTCGTGGCCCCACGGGGAGCTCCACCGAAGGCCCCAATGGCACAGGCCGCACGCCTTGACCGCCACCCATCTTGGCACACCTCCCACACGGTTCGTGACCCCACAGGGAGCTCCACCGAAGGCCCCAGTGGCACAGGCCGCATGCGGGGACCGCTCCCCATTTTGGCACACCCCTCACACGGTTGGTGGCCCCACAGGGAGCTCCACCGAAGGCCCCAGTGGCACAGGTCGCATGCGGGGACCCCGCCCATGTAGGCACACCTCTCACACGGTTCGTGGCCCCACGGGGAGCTCCACCGAAGGCCCCAGTGGCAGAGGCCGCGTGCGGAGACCGTCACCCTTCGGCACACCCGTCACACGGTTCGGAGCTCTTCTGCAACACGCCGCGGCGCTGCGAGTTCCAGGCGTCCAACCGCTTGAAGGACCCGAAGCTCCGGGACCTCATGGCGTTCCTGCGCAAGCAAGGGAAGCAGGTGCCTCCGGCCATCTGGGCCACGTGGAAGGCCATGCAGCTGAAGCCCGACGATCGTCGGCTCTGGGAGGACAGGTTCCAGAATGGCCACATGACGGGTCCTACTGGGACACCGTGGCGCGGTGGATGATCATGCGCGCCCAGCGGGACGCGGACGTCCTGAAGAAGCCCCTCTTCCTTGTGAATGCAGCCGACAGGTCTGCCCCGACGATGAGCGTGAAGGGCGCCGCCAAGATGATGATCTGCGCCAGCCCGAAGAACACCGGCGGCATGCACGGACTCCTCCCCGTGCACGTGGGCATGCGGATCTGGCTTCTGGAGGCGCTCGACCTCAAGAACGGCCTCGTCAAGGATGCCGAGGGGCAGATCGCGCGCGTCAGCGTGGCCCGCGGGACAGGGCAATGGTCGAGAAAGCCGAGAGAGACGGGGAGAGGAGGATCTATCTGAAGAATTTGCCGCTGGGGTTCTGGGTGCGCATGGAGAAGTACGCGGGCGCGCCCTTCGTGGGCGACCTCAACCGTCTCGACGACAACCTCACGGGAGAACTCACGGGCCCGCTGGTGTTCATCGAGCCTCGCGCGTCGGAGCCGTTCACCTTCCGCACCTCCAAGGTCACCCGCGCTGGCCCCCCGTTCTCGCGCGGCAGGGTCTTCGCCGCGGCGGCGCGCCAGGGGCGCGCCGTGCGAGAAGGCGACCGGGCGAGAGAACGGCGCTCACGGGCAGTCTGCGGCCGCGCCGCCTGGGCGCGAGCAGTCTACACTCCGCGCCCCCATCGGTAATGTGGACTTTCGCCCTGGGCGGTGGGCTGCCCGGCGCGCTGCTCCCTCGGCCGACATCGCCCAGGCGTGATCCTGGACTGCGGCCGCCACGAGGTCGGGAACGGCAGGAAAGAAGGCGACGACTGGTGGCTTGAGCTCCACGCGATGCTTTCGCACGCCGCGCGCCACGAGGGCCTCCTGCTCACGCGGGCGCCGCGCGTCGGATTCTTCCTCGCAGGGCCGCCGGAAGGCTTGCGGAAGCAGCTGGGGCAGTCTGCGGCGCGCGCGATGCGCTGCAGGAGGGGGGCGACGGCATTTCCCAAGCAGCTGGGCTTTAGAGCGTTTATCCGCGAGGCCTGACTTGGGGGCGGCCGGCCCGAGCCTCGCCCTCATTCGACAGTCTTTCTGTTTGGCCTCGCGCCGATGATGATATGCGCGCGTCGCCGGAACCCTCTCGGGGCGACCGGCGCGCGTCGCGGGGGCTCCGCGACGCGATGCCTCCAGGTGTTGCCCCGCTACCCGGCGCGCTCTGTCTTGCGCTTTTCAATTTGTGAGCCAGTCGTTGAGCTTTTCCCGGCGCCGCGGACGACCCGCGCACGTCGCTGGCCCCCCCCCCGCGGGGCGACCGGCGCGCGTCGCGGGGATTCCGCGCCGCGATCGGCCCGCGGCCGCGGCCGCCAGGGCGCAAGGGCAAAGGGGGGCGAAAAACTTGAGCTGGGAAGACAATCGAAACAAAGCGGCCGCGCAAGGGGCTCGGCCCCAGCACAGCGCTTCGTTGCCCCATAGGGAGCCCCACCGAATGCCCCAGCGGTTGCGTCCACACGTGTCTCCCCAACCCGGCGCAGCGTTTCGTGGCCCCGTAAAGAGCCCCCCTTTCTTCGTCCCAGCTGACCTGCGGTACTCGCAACTGCACATGGTCGGGTCCGTCGCAAGGAGGATTTGTTTTTCTTGTAAAATCCGTTCGTTAGAGGACACGCCCGACCTAAACTTACAGTCGGGAGGCTGACATGAAGCATGCGTTTGACCTCGGAGCTCCGTTCTCGTGCGCTTTGCCTCGGGGCCTCCTCTTTGCATCTGGAATCGCAGCGGTGGCCCAAAAGGGGCCGCGCGCGCGTCACAGCGGCTTCGCCAGCGCCGCCGCTCAGATGCCCCTTCCCCTCCTTCCAGGTTGTCGCTGGGAGACGCCGACAGGATCCATGTCGATCCCAGCTTCGCAGCGCGAGTCTGTTCAAGTTTGCCCCGCCAGGGGCAACGGTCATGGAGAACAAGGACAAGGAGAAAGGATGACGACCACGATGAGGACGATGAGGTGGAGGGAGGAGGGGCATGGCTAGAGGCAGTCGTGGATGTCCATCAATCGTTTCTGTCCCAGTCAGCTACAATGCTGGGATCAGCGCGTGCGAAAAGTGCGGGCAGTGGCAGCGGGCCCTGGTGCTGCTGAGCGAAATGTGGCAGGGGGAGTTGACGCCCGACGTTGTCAGCTGCAGTGCCGCCATCAGCGCGTGCGAGAAGAGCAAGCGTTGGCTGCAGGCCCTGTGGCTGTTCGGCGAGATGTGGCGTGGGGTGCTCAAGCCAGACATCACCCTTTCCCCAGGGCCAGTTTTTCATCTTGAGTGTTCTTGTTGCCGTCCTGAGGCCCGGCGAGGGCCGAAAACGAGGAGAAACCTCTCGCCGCGAATTTTTCCGCACGACTGGGCAGAAACCTCGCCGCCCTAGTTCAGTAGGCAACGGCGATGTAGGTTTCGGTATTGTGGGAGCGCGCGGCTCGCACTTCCCTGCAACTCGCTGTGTCGTCTTCGTTCGATGATGCACTCGAATCAGGGACACGTGGGCAAGTGTCACCACCCACCAAACCACCCCAACCCAACCCGAAGGCTCAGATTTACCCTCTATTTCTAGTGGGGGGGGGGTCCGGGAACACTGGAAAAACACATATGGAGCCCATACCCCCCCCCAACCCGAAATTCGGGTCTTCGGGTTGGGTTGGGGTGGTCTGGTAGGTAGTCAAAGTGTGGACCGCGATCTCATGCGAGTTGGCTCCCAAACGTCCCCATGGAGCAGCATCGCCCTTCTGTGTGGCCCTGGTCAGAGCGCCCCCGCGGGGGGGCCGCGCCCTCGGGGCATCGTCGACGGGGGGGCGGGCGCCTCCCGCAGCCTCGCCCTGGGTGGAGGCCGGCGGGCGGGCTCGCGGATGCGATGGTGCGGGCCCGGGCTCGCGGGCGGAGGCCTCGCGGAGGCTTAAGCAGGGCCTGTCCCTCTACAGGGGGAGCATTGGAAAATAGTGAGAGAGTAGTCCAGGGACGACTTGTTTAGTCTATAAAGACATGTCTTGAGCACTTTTTTTATTTTTCGTTCAGGATCCGCCTGTACATGGACACGCCAGACCTAGGCGGAGGCCTCGGCGGGAGGCGTCGGAAGGAAAAGCCTGTAGGCCCCCCTTCAAGAGGTCAGCGCCTGCGCGTCTTGGTGCGCGAGTGAGGCCTTCTAGTCGACTACATGTAAGAGTGACTCTTCGTCGGAGTGACCTTTGGTGCGGGCTTATCAGGGCCAACCCAGTCGCTGAGCGCGATGCGATAGCATCTGATTTCGCGCTTGGGTGTGACCATTTTGCATCCCCTCAGTCCGCGCACCAAATGCCATTTTTGCCTAGTGTCACTCCTGCGCGTAGCCGATCTAGGCCTCCTAAATCGGGTCGGAGTAGATGATGGGGTGGGAGGATCGCGCCGCATCGCCGATGCATCGACGATGCGGCTCGATGCGGAGCCCGATTTTCTCCACGCCGACGTCGCCGATGCGTCGCCGACGTCGGCGATGCATCGCCGATGCATCGCCGATGCATTTGCGACGCGGCGCGATCCTCCGAACCCATCTACTCGGACCCCACCTAGCAGGCCTCCAGAAGCAGGAGCACTGCGGGTGCTCGTCGCCTGAGCTCGGGGCGCTCCAGAGGGGCCCTCGCCCTCGAGGGATCGAGAGGGGGCGGACGGCTTCGTCCTCGCACGAGGCCGGCCGGCCTGCGGGCTCGCGGAGAGCGGCGGGGGCAGAGTCGAGGGCGGGCCCGCGGGCGGATGCCTCGGCGGAAGGCGTCGGTCAGACGTGCGCAAGAGTGGCCCCTTTCGCAGGAATGACCCTTGGTGCGGGCCCGCAGCCGTCGCCCTCGCCGGAGGCCGGCGACGACGACGGCGACAACGATGGTGGCGACGGCGACGGCGACGGCGACGGCGACGACGGCGGCGGCGACGGCGACGGCGTCGGCGACGACGACGGCGTCGGCGACGACGACGGCGACGCCGCACCAGGCTGTCGGGGCTCCTGGTTGTGGCCTCGGGCCGGGCGGTTCGTTGTCTGGCGGGAGGTCCGGAAGTCGGGCATATTGAGAACGCCCACCCAGGCAAGTCGATTGCGAAAATTTGCAAGGTTCACTCGGCATTGGCATTCCAGTGTACCTGTGCAGCCCCCAGTCGGTTTCGCTGATCGACGTCCGTCCCGCCAGATACATGTTGTTTTTTGACGCCGGTTAGTCACCCTGCTGGGGTGCGCTCGAAATGCGGTGCCGTGCGAACGCGGAGTGCCCCTAGCAACTTTCACTAAATGGCGTTTTGCTAATGGGGTTTCTGTCCCCCCCGACACGGGGTCCCCCTGACAGTGGCTTGCGCGCGTGGATGTGGCCACACACGCGGCGCCCTGAAGCCGCGCTCCAAAGTTCACTCTTGCATACCCATCGGTCGTTGACAGTGGATATTTCTGGCTTCCCAGATTCCACTCTACTTCAAGCACCTTCCTGCTTCAAGAGTCGAGTGTCTTCCCCTCTTCCCCCCTCTAGAGGAGGCGGGCGGGAGCCCACTCTACTTCCAACGCCCCCCCACCTCATGGTTCTGCCTCTGCCTGCTTCTTCCGACCGATGGGTAGGGCCACTCTTGCGTGGAGGCGAGTCGGACGAGGGAGGAACGATAAGGAGGAGGAGAGCGGGGGGGAGTCGTCGGACTGCGGAGGGAAGGAATGGGAGGGGACGAGGAGGAGGAGGAGGAGGAGGAGGAGGAGGAGGAGGAGGAGGAGGGGGAGGAGGAGGAGGAAGGGGAGAAGGAGGAGGAGGAGGAGGAGGTCAGCGCTGGCGCGCCTGGGCGGAAGCGAGGAGGAAGCGCGGGTGCTCGCCGCCCGCCCCGGCGTCCGCTCGCAGGCGATCGCTCTCGCCCCCGAAAATGCCCGGGGCGGCCGAGAGGGGGATGACGACTACCTCCTCCTCCTCCTCCTCCCCCTCCTCCTCCTCCTCCTCCTCCTCCTCCTCCTCCTCTCCTCTACCTCCTCCTCCTCCTCCTCCTCCTCCTCCTCCTCCTCCTCCGCCTCCTCCTCCTCCCCCTCCTCCTCCTCTCTCGCCCCCGAAAATGCCCAGGGCGGCCGAGAGGGGGATGGCGACTCGGGTTGTGGACGACGCTGAATGGAGAGGAAGCGTGTTGCCAAATAATTCCCAGATGTCCAGAAACATATTCCAAACGTGTCTGAGACATGTGAAAAACAGGTCTTCAACATGTTGAACACATTTTCCAAACATGTGAAACAGATGTTTAATTCAATGATTGGATTGTTAGGGAGTCCAGTGCCATGGCATCCACAAGACTTAGGGCTGTGGATACCGTGACTGGGACCACGAGGTCTCCCGAGATAGCATTCGAAGAAGAACAACGGCATAAACATAAACTTTCGCGGCTCCGCGCGGATTTCCTGGATCCGCGCTGGGTCCCCCCTGGCGGCGCCTCCGGCGCCGCCCCTGGCGCGCTCCGCGCGCCAGGGAAGGAGGGCCCAGCGCAGATCCAAGAAATCCGTGCGGAGCGCCGAAAGTTTATGCTTACGCCGTTTTTCCTTCCTTTACCCCCAGATATCATGACGCCGTGTCTCAGTTCGAGGCGTCCCCTGGCCCCTCCCCGCGGCCGTGCACGTGGACGACCCCGAGCATCCCAGAGCCCCCTCCCCCGAGCAAAAGCAGCCTGTCCCTTCAGAAGAGCCGGGGAACCGGGGATCCACCCCTGGGGGTGCTGTTCGGATGCGCCCCTGGGATGGATGCCAGCCGCCCCCCATCGTATAGTCGAGCCCCCATCGGGTGTTCGGAGAAAAGGTTCGTCGCAAGGTGGGGTTGGGGAGCGCGCCCAGCCAAATGCTCACGCTTCCTTCTCCCAGGGGCCGTTGGGAGTGATTTTCCTTTAGCCGCATCTTTGCTCCTACCCACCCACCTGTCCCTATCCCCGATTCAAGTTTCTGGTCCAGTCGAACCCCACAAAGTCGGGCATTGGGGTCGCCATGCTCCCTATTATCCGCTCCCAGGAGGCCTCCAAGTTCTAGCCCGAGAAATTCCAAGACGGTTCAAGGCCCCGAGGCCCCCCAGACGGCTCGACGACCCACCAAGACGGGCCCAAGGTTCCAACAAATTCTCTGGCACCCGCCCACAACAGGCTCCAGCAAGCCGCGAAAAGGCCACACGTATGTTGAAAGGCCCTCGGGCTTTCCAGTCATTGCAGCCCCTCTAGCTCTGCACCGCGCAACGGGGCTATAGATGGGCCGCAGGCGGCCCAGGACGGTTCCAAGGTGGCTCCAAGACCAGCCAGGACGTGGAGGAGGAGGAGGAGGAGGAGGAGGAGGAGGAGGAGGAGGAGGAGAGAATATCACCCCAGACGGCTTGGACATGAGGTCAATGACACGGTCCCAAAACAGCCCAGCCCTGGTCGGCACCATGTCGTCCCATGACGTGCCCGGGGCGGCCCAGGACGGCCACCAGAGTGCCCCACAGCCCGCATCGCCTTCAGACGTGCCGGGATTTTCCCGAGCGCAATTCCGACGTTGTCCCAAAAAGGCCCCGAGGCGGCCATTGGTGGAACATCACGTTTGTCTTCGTCCACATTTCTACTCTCACGTTCTCAACGCAGCCCCTCTCCAGAAAGCTGGCATCCTGGTCACCGTCTTCCTCTGCCTGCTGCGGAATTCACCAACAGACTCAACGCGGTTAAGTCATCTACAGTGCCGCGATCAGCGCGTGCGAGAAAGGAGAGCAGTGGCAGAGGGCGCTATCGCTACTCGGCGAGTTGGAGCTGGCATCGCTTGAGCCAAATACTATTAGCTACAGCGCCGCAGTCAGCGCATGCGAGAAGGGCTCGCAGTGGCAGCAGGCTTTGGAGCTGCTCGCGGAGATGGGGCCAGCAAAGCTCGAGCCAAACATCGTCTCTTTCACATTCCCGACCTCAACGCAAGCGAGCGTTGCTATGGTGCAGGGTAACGGATCCAGTATCAGGGGCCCCAACTTGTCCCCAATTCATCTTCACCCTCCTCTGTTTGTCCTACGAACCCGCTCGCCGATTGTTGCGACGCGCCGCCACCAGGGACCCTTCTTTCATTACTACACGACACGACACCTACCCAGCGAAAGCACGGAGGGCAGTTCAAGTGGCGGACGGCGTCGAAAGGTCACCAAACGATAGTGGCCGCTAGTGGTCATAGGAACCTGTTCTCAGCAGAGTCAGGTGTCACGGTTTTTTTTGGAGGCTATCAAGCATGCAGGTTCGCGCGGTGTCCACGCGGTCGCGAGCCCTGCGCGGGCGTTCCAGGTTGAACACCGCCAGTGTTCCGGAGTCGCCTGCTATCGAAGGGCCCACGTTATCAGGAAGCCGCGATCGTTCATTGTTGAGCGACCCACGTGGTCGTAGGTACGTCGTCGTACGACGACGACATACGACGACGACATACGACGACGACGACGTCGACGGCGACGACGACGACGACGACGACGACGACGAGAAGCCAGCGCACCAGTTCGCACAACTGCGTGCGTTGATAGGAGGCGAACTCAGGGGCAGCAGACTTGCTTCGCGCCGTCGGGGAGCGAGAAGAGCACGAACACAACGCCGGAGTTGCCACGACACGAGCCTGCCACAGGCTTCGCTGCGCGCATCTGCACACCCCGCTGGTCTGCGCTGCGCTGGAGCTTCCGAGGGGGCTCTCAAACAAAGGCCGTTTCGCTTGAGGCATCCCTCCAAACTCAAGTCGGAATTCTTACAGTTTAGCATAACACCTTCCACGACTCACCTTCTCGGGGAGCCTCCCATATCTCCTGGAGCTCTTTAGACCTCCTGAGGCCTCCTGAAGCCTCTGGGTGTCTCCTGGACCTTCATGGGGGTTCAGAACACGTGCACACATGTACACGTACACATGGGCACATACACGCATCACACAATACATCGCACGCGACACAAACATGAGAACACAACACCTACAAAATGCAGGAAACACGCATCAAACACATGCACACGCACAATCACGCACAAGGCGCGCACAAGACACGCACAAACATACGAAACGCACAACACACGCAACACGCACACAACCCACTCACATTACACCCAAAACACACATAACACACAACATCTTACACGCAACCCGAATAGCACACTTAGCACACGCACGCACAGAGAACACACACACACCCACACAACATACACACAGACCGCACACATCGCTTACACAGAGCACACACAGCACACAACACGCGCACACGACACACAAACACACAAACACACACACACAACTCACATTACACATGGACAACACACCCACACCCACACAACTCCCAGGAAAGGGAACAACATGTTTTTTTGGTATGAGCCTGGGTACGCACGTGCCACTTGTACATCGACTTGTGTGTAGATATAACTCTAGATATAAAGCATACACTTATATATATGTACCTATATATACACACCCAGGCCCTGGAAAGCAGCCGCCGCAGACTACATGTATGACGAATGGGAGGCGGAGAGTGGGAGAGGAGGATCACGAGAAGGTGGCGGAGATCAGGAAGAGGAGGAGGAGGTGACGAAGATGACGTGGAGGAGGAGGTCAGGAGGAGGAGGAGGATTAAGATGTCTGCTGACCTGTGAGCCAGTTGACGAAGCCCCCAAGCCGCCAGTGGACGTCCGCCTGCGTGGCGGCTCATATGTCAGCTACAGCGCCGCTATCAGCGCGTGCGAGAAGGGCGGGTAGTGCTCTCGGTGCTTCCCTTAACGTGCTGCCCGGCGCTGGCCCGGCAGTGGCCCATCGTCGCTGGCGCCTGTCGCAACCAGGGGTGGCGCGAGGGCGGCGGTCTTCCAAGAAGGTGGAGTGGGGGCTCCTCAGAAGGCGGGGGCCTTCTCAGAAGGGCATGGGGGCTTCTTAAGAAACTTGCTTTGCAGCAGGGGGGGTTTCTTTGAAGCCGCCTGCATTCTTAGAAGCGCCCCGCGCCTTCTTCGAAGGTCGACGCCCTCGCGCCACACCTTGTGCGCGCCGCCAAGCCTGTCCAGCGCAAATGCTCCCAGCGTGCTGTACGGCCGCGGTGCTTCCACGGTTGCAAAAAAGACGAACGCAGTATGTTCCTCCTCTTGCTCTGGGCCGTCTTCGTCGCCAAGGCTGGGCGCGGCTCTGGAACCGCGTCAGACATGTCCCTGGGAGGGGCTCGGGCGCCAGTTTTGCCTCTGGCTTCGCAGGCCAGAGCCTCCGATTGTCCTCCGGATTGTTTGGTGGCCCCTAGGGTGTCGGTGCCTTCCGTCAGTACCCATTTTGGATCAAGCCTTTACGGTTCAACCCTATCTGGTGCAAGCCATCTTGGCGCAATTTGCATGGCTCGAAGTGTGCAGAGGATTACCGATGGAGTCAAGTGCCCTCCTCTTTCGGTCAGCTTTTGCTGCGCGAGGCATGAGGAAACCTCTCCACGCGGTGCCTCTCCAGGTGGTGCTTGCATAATTGCCCTCGCGATTTCGCTCATCGGTTTGGCCTTCGCAGCGATGGTGAAACCGCTGCCCTGTGCAACTGGCCGAGGCTGCCCTACTTCAGCAATCGCAGTGCTCGTGTAATCGGCCAGCGATACAAAGGCCGATCGCACAGCCGGGCAACGGCCCAGTCCTACAGGCAGCTGGCCGTCAGAATTTGAAGCATGTGGCTGGTGGCGAGAGGCCCACCACAGGCTTTGGCGTCCGTGGGCCGGTGCCCAAGGCGATCTATTACATCAGCCGCAGACTGCGGCACAGAAGGTTGCATCGTTTTTTCGAGCAGTCGCGAAGCGTTCTGGCGTGCCTATAGGCCTACCAAACAATGTTATAAGAACCTTTTGTGGTTTCCACGACATGTTCTTAGAACATGTCTGGCTGGGACTGTCTTGTTTCAACACATCGGGTTTTTGTTCTAAGGACATTGCTTTTATTCTTATAGCATTTTTGGGCTCAACGAAACTTTCGTGGTAAGCCTATAGGAAAGCCAGGACGGTCGGTCCCTGCTTAAAAGATGGCATCATCGCTTCCTCCTGAGCTCGGCTTGGATGATGACAGCCGCATCGCAACGCCCTGCGAGGGGTGGCGGGGTTCGACAGCAAGTCAGTGATGAAGATCGCGTCGTCACCTCGAGCGTTGAGCTACGATGTGGATAGCCACAGCGCCTTGCTAGAGAGGGCGAGCTTCGAGCCCAAGGCAGTGCTGAAGATGGCATCGGCGTTTTCTCTTGTGCTGGGCCTTAGATGATAATGGAAAGGCTCGGGGCGTTTATTCCCAGTTTTCAATACATACGTGCTCTTTCCTTTTAGGGCACAATTTGTGTTGTATTTTCAAGCCCGGGGTCAGCACGTTGCCCACTTGCTCGTTTTGTCCCGTCTTCGGTACCTTTTTTCAATGGGCTGTTCTCATGCGCCTGTCTGACGCCCCCTTTTTCAATGGTATTTTTTTTCAATGCGCCTGTCTGACGTCCACATTCCATGGAGTACTTCTTTACTATATCGTTCTGATCGAATCAGGATCGGAAAGTCGAACCTACAAAAGCCGCGTTCGCAATAACAACTAAGTGCTGGGTTGTGGCGAGCCGCATTGCCTTGCTGTAGAGGGCGGGCTTCCAGCGCAATGGTGAAGATGGCGTCGTTCCACCCTTAAGTGCTAGGCTACGATGTTGAGAGGCGCGCCGTCTTGCTGAAGACGGAGGGCCTCGAGCGCAACGCAGTGCCGAAGATGGCGTCATCATTTCCTCAAGGATTTGGCTTGGATGTGAGCCAGAATGTTGGGCCGAAGGTGAGTGTCTTGCAAGCGGTCCGGCCCACATGTAATATATACTACGAACGTTACGTCGTATCCGTCATAGTTTTACAATGCGCTCGAAGGCCGTATTACGTAAGCCAACGTTGCGCGAATTGCAATGGCATTGCATGTTGTCATACACGTGGCGATGTCGTGCCGCGGCTGCCGTTAAGCGATGGTGTGTTTTCCAGACGGGCTGGTGCTGCATATTGCACATTTGCATGTCAAGCCATGGTGGCTGCATGAAAAATATGTCAGTACCATGCATGGGGGGCCAGGTGGGCGGATTTGAAGGCTAGAGGGAGGAGGGTTGCGGAGGGGTGGGGTGAGAGGGGAAGAGGCACAAAAAAGTTGGGAGCGGAGGGGAGGGGGCGCGGGAGAAGAAGAGGAGCACGATGAAGGGTATGAGCAGAGGGTGGAGGAGGGGCAGGATGAGGGGGTGGAGAGCGGAAGGGGGAGGAGGAAGTCCAGGAGGAAGAGGCACAGCAGCAGGAGGCTCACGATGGAGAGGAGAGGACGGGGAAGGACGACGAGGACGAGGAGAGCGTGAGCTCCAGCGTGCGAGCCTGCGGCTTCTGGTGCCCGCGAGGCGTGGCCCCGCCTCGCCTCGGAGTGGCTGCGGCGCCAGCGCCGCCCATGCCCTCTGACGTCCTGAACCTTTCGCGGCGTGGGCCCCAGAGCTCTCGACCCCGTCCGCCAGGCTGGTTTTTCGCGGCGGGTCCGTGCTCTGACACCCCCACGGGCCCTGCAGTTCAGGGGAGCAAAAAGGTGCCGATGCCGCTACCGTGGCCTTACTTGCCTCGTGTTGGGGCCTCTCCTGGGAGGCCCTCGTCGCCACCGCTGGATTTGCCTCGAGGTTCTGGATTTGCCTCGAGGTTCTGGTTCTGGATTTGCCTCGAGGTTCTGGTTTTGCCTGAGAGATCCGGCTAGTAGCGATATGGGTACCTGCTGGCTTCCCCAGGAGAGAGGCTCTCCAGTGGCGCACCCTCTTTTTGTCCACGGGGTGACAGCCAGGGGAAGGGGGAGGAGAAGGGTGGGGTCGGCCCGGCGGTGGCCGGATCACCAGAATCGCCCAGGCGGGGTCCCCAGAAGCCTTTTGGATGGATTTCTGGAGCCTTCCGGCGTTCGGTGTTGAGAGGAATAGAATGCCTCGGCCCGCCCGCCGGCCCTGCATATCGCGGCTGCCGGGCCCCAGAAGTCCTGATCGTTCCGGGTCCCCCGCCTCGCGTGCTCGTCAAGAGAAGGCAGAGGCCATCCCGCAGACCGCGACCGCCAGGCATGAAGCAGCCCGATAGTTCGCGGTGTCTCGCCTCGCATTCTCCGCAAGTGACGACAGATCAGACGGCAGAGCCAATGAGCGACACGAAGAGCATACGTGCAAAACACATACATATGCTGCATCAGTCAACATACATGCGTTTCATAAAAGTGGCGCTATGCCAATCACGTTTCACACGTAATAAGCGACCAACAGCAAGCAACTGTCTAAACACTCTACACGAAACGACCATACATACCGCACAGCCGACGTAAACAATTTCCCGGAGCAACATCAGCTGACAAAAATTAGCCGACACAACGAGCACACGTGAATAACAAACATGGGTGCCTGGCATACGTAGCATGTGAGATACGTTTAAGCCTGCAGGCTGGGCTGACTGTACGGCACCCCCCGAGCACCGCTAGCGTGTAAGGCCCAGAAGAGGCCCGAGTGTGCGAAGCCCGCCAGGGGCCGAGACAGGAGAGAGAGAGGGGGGGTCCTTCCGAAGCTTATTGAGCCTCGAGTAAAAAGTCACTGCTTCCCCACATCTCATCTGTGCATGGTGACATGTGTGTGGGGGATCATACCGAATGTCCCCTACAGGTGAGCTCTCCAGCGGAGGCCTGACGGACCTCGGGGAGAGAGCCGCGCGACGGCATGGCGGCAGCGGACGGGCAAGCGAACTCGCAGTTGCTAGATCCGCATGGAGTTGGAGAGTTGCCGACCTTCTCTGGCAAGCGAGAAGACTTCGAGGATTTGATGTTTGCGGCTTACTGTGCTGGACGGAAGGCCTGGACCGGGCTAAAAATGCAGAGGAGACGCTCACAGCGGAGGATATCCATGATGCAGGTCTTCAAGTCGGACGCTCGCTCTACCACCTGCTGGTGAGGACGACGAAGGGAACGGTGCAGAGCATCGTGACGCTGTCAGCTCGTGGCGGCGGATTCGCGGCGATGGGGAAACTCTACGCGGAGTGTCGCCCTCGTCTCAATGAAGAGCATGGTCAAATGCTCCGGCAGATATTTATGCCGCTCTGGTGGGAGGAGCGCGAGGGCAATGAGCGCGTCACGGAAGTGCTGATCACGTGAGACATGCTGGTCTCGCGCTACGAGCGGGCCACTGGAGAGCAGGTGGCCCAGAATATGAGCACGAGCGTGATCATGGCACGCGCACCCGACAAGGTGAAGGCGATGCTGCGGTCGGCTGCGGAGCTGCATCTTCGAGGCTGTAATCGGCCAGAGCGGAGTCATCGCGAAGCTGCCGGCAACGAATCGTGGCAGGGGCGACATGGAGGTGGAGACCATCCCGAAATTACAGGGCGATCGAAAGGATGCGTGCCTGGTCTGTGACAAGCCGAGCCACGCGGCGAAGGACTGCGTTTGGCGCGACGGCAAAGGTAAAAGGCAAAGGCGGCGAGGCACGTGGCGCTGGCACATGCGAGCACGGCCGCGGCAAGGGCGGCCACAGCAGCAACGGCAAGGGCAATGACTCGCTCACAAGGAAGTGCGGCTATTGCCATTAGAATGGCCACGAGAAATCCGACTGCAGGAAGCGGATCGCCGACGAGAAGGCCACGGGCAACGCTGCGATCGAGCAGGAAGGCTCTGAGCCGAAGGTGGTGGCCAAGTAAAGACTGAGTTCGCGGACGAGCTCGAGCGCGGGATCTGCGACGACGACCAGCTCATGGCCATGCGGGCCTGGGGCTGCGAGGACGAATGCTGCATGATGGAGCTCGAGGGCTCGACCTTCATCACCCTGGATCCGGCGAGCGACAGCCTCGTCGGCCCGACGCCCTTCGGCGCGGGCTGCGCGCA